TATAAGTGAAATCTGAGTTCTAGCTGACTGTACCCTAAATTATCACAAAGAATTCATGAGCAGACAGTATATTTCCAAAGCCATTGCACAGGGAAGCTTCATTCAATATTTGGTGACAAGAATTTGGGCTATCACATTTTATTTATTTATTTATTTATTTATTTATTTATTTATTTATTTTTAATATATTTTATTGAATTTCTACAGAGAGGAAGGGAGAGAGACAGAGAGTCAGAAACATCGATGAGAGAGAAACATCAATCAGCTGCCTCCTGCACATCTCCCACTGGGGATGTGCCCGCAACCCAGGTACATGCCCTTGACCGGAATCCAACCCGGGACCTCTCAGTCCGCAGGCCGACGCTCTATCCACTGAGCCAAACCGGTTTCGGCTATTTTTTATTTCAGTTTTATAATCCTTACCCAAGGATATTCTCTCTCCCTCCCCCCCAATTGATTTTTAGATAGAGTGGAAGGGAGGGGAGGAGGAGGGAGAGTGGGGAGAGAGAGAGAGAAAGAGGTGAGAGAGACACGTCGATTGGTTGCTTCCAACACAAGCCTGGACCATGGCTGAGGATTGATCCTGTGACCCAGGTACATGCACTTGACTGGAAATTGAACCTGTGACCCTCTAGTGCGCAGGCCAACACTCTAAGCACTAAGCCATGCCAGTCAGGGCTGGACTGTCATATTTTGCTGAAGGATGTTGACAGTGTTTATTTTATTTTATATTTATGCAACAAAATCTACTTACTTATGTTTGTAATTGGATTAGTGCCTATAGCAGTATGTACAGTGGTTGGAAGGAAACATATGATGTAGAAATGAAAAAATTGGCTGAATTAATCCTTTTCATTGGTATTTATACATCTTAATAAATATGTTATCGCATTTATGGAACCGAGAACTTGACTGTCCTTCAAGAAAATTGTAAGCTATCTAAGTTTTCAAAAGGGTAATGCATATTGATGATGTATGTGCAAAAAGAACCAGCAGTCAGTTAGAACCTATTAGAGACAAGTACAATTAATCCTCATATTTCGCAGATTCCATATTTGCAAATTTGCCCTATTGCTAAAATCTATTTGTAATTCCAAAATCAGAGCTGGTAGCACTTTCACCATCATTCACAGGCAGGTGCACACAGAGTGATGAATAATAAGAATCTCCTGGCTTGCTTGTTTCCTGCTGAGGTCTAATAAGGCAGTTTCATTTTTGGTGCCCTGCCTTCCTGTTTCGGCCCTTACTAGTATCCTTACAGGTGTCCTTTTCATGGTTTCCAGTGATACATTTTCTGCATTTTTGTGTGAAATGGGCTATTCCCTATTTTTGTCGTAAGATATTGAAGTTTTTCTTGTGCAGTGACTGACTGAGTGTTTTCACTTTTTAAAATGCCTGTCTGCATTGTTCTGAATGCTGTCTGGTGTTCCACAGAGCAAGGAGGCTGTGATGTGGACAAATGCGGGTATTGGACAAGCTTCATTCATGCACAAGTTACAGCATTGTTGACTATGAGTTCATTGTTTATGAATCAGCAATGTATATTAAATGAGGTGTCTATAAACAAACACTTAAAACAAGGTGATGTGTTGATTTGTTTACCTGTATCTGGTGAAAAATAGAAGGAACTCTTTCTTTTTTTTAATATATTTTATTGACTTTTTACAGAGAGGAAAGGAGAGGGATAGAGAGTTAGAAACATCAATCAGCTGCCTCCTGCACACCCCCTATTGGGGATGTGCCTGCAACCAAGGTACATGTCCTTGACTGGAATCGAACCTGGGACCCTACAGTCCGCAGGCCGATGCTCTATCCACTGAGCCAAATCGGTTAGGGCTAGAAGGAACTCTTAACCCTGTGCCCACTAATTCAGAATTTGCAGCAATTTTATAGATACATACATACCACAAATAATACGAATCGACTGTTTACAGGATGAATATGTTCTAGTTACATTAAAAGAATGTTGTCCATTTTCAGTATACAACAAGTTCTCGAATAACATTGTTTCATAAAATCAGCCTATGGTAATTGGTTTTGTTGTACATGATTTCACTGAAAGTTGCAGAACCTACTGGTGACATACTGGTAACCTGTATGTACTTTGAGGGCCAGGAAAATATCGAATAAAAATTGGGTATGTTATGTTAAGTTCTTATTAAAATTATCTAAAGTTCTTTTAACTTTCCCTTCATTCTTAAGTAAATTTTTACAAAATAACTTAAAAATTTTAAAATTTTTTGTAGGCTTATTTGACCCAGAAAATAACCATTTTTCTTTGTAGGCTGTGGGTTATTAAGAGCTGAAGGCACAAGGAAATAATTCACTGGCAGCAGTTCACCTGATGCGTAGAGGTCATGAGCTAGTGGTAGTATTTTGGTAGACCAGCTGAATCTGAAATACTTCCTGACGTAGATCTTCCAGCGTTTTTCATTTTTGAGTTTATTTACAAACTGATGAAAGTACTCTCTTAGGAAGGTTCCAGAGTTCTGCATTTGTAGGTTAGGCCAGTCTATTTGCTGTAGAAACCAAAAAAGCAAGTCACGGATTAGGTCTCTAGGCCTTTAGCATTTCTAGGTTTACTACTTATTAACAGAATGTCAGAAATGGTGGTTTGTGCCAAAACCTTTTTAAGAGTGCATATATACATAGTTCAAAGACTCTGTTTCTTTATTTGTAACTATTTATGAGAGATGCCTGTTTTTACAAACTAACCTGGAAATCTTTATTTGCTTCTAATGGCCTTTGTTGTATTTTCTGTTTGTTTCTCTTCCCCATTGGACAAAGCTCAAAAGCATGAATGGTACATTATTTATGTTTTTAACGCTAAGCATAGTGCTTGACACTAAGTATTCTGGGTTTCATTGAATGGTCATTTAGTGAATTTGTGATGAAGAAATTGATACACAGATTAAATTATATATCTAGATTATTAATTAAGTAGGGAGGTCTCAGCATCTTCCTCAGACTCCTGTATGCCCTATTGCTTTTTTTAAAAAATTACAAAATGAAGTTCTCCCCACAATTTTTTTTTATGAGGGAAAGTTTATTTTTTTATTAATCCTCACCGGAGGATATTTTTCCATTGATTTTTAGAGAGAGTGGAAGGGAGGGAGGGGGAAAGACAGAGAGAGAGAAACATCAATGTGAGAGAGACACATCAGTTGGTTGCCTCCCAGGTCGAGCCTACAACCAAGGTATGTGCCCTTGACTGGAATCAAACACGGAACCTTCAGTCCACAGGCCAATACTATATCCACTGAGCCAAACAGGGTAGGGCCCACATTTTTTTTTTTTTTAAATGTTTTTATTGATTTTTAGAGAACAAGGCAGGGAGAGGAATAAAGAGAAAGAAATATCAATGAGAGAGAGTCATGATTGACTGCCTCCTGCACACATCTATGGAAGCTTGAGCCCACAAACTGGTGGGAATCAAACTGGTGACCTCTTGGTTCCTGGGTTGATGCTAAACCACTGAGCAACACCAGTTGGGTTCACCACATTCTTAAATATGCTGATTAAGCTAGTCATTCTACATTTTTGTTGTTGTTGTTGTTGTTGTTAATCCTCGCCTGAGGATATTTTTCCATTGATTTTTAGAGAGAGTGGAAAGGAGTGGGAGAGACCGAAACATTGATGTGAGAGAGACACAGTGATTGGTTTTCTCCCGCATATGCCCTGACCAGGGCCAGGGATCAAGCCTGCAACCAAGGTATCTACCTTTGAACGGAATCAAACCCAAGACCCTTCAGTCCACAGGCTGACACTCTATCCACTGAGCAAAAGAGGCCAGGGCTCATTCTCCATTTAAAAAAAAAAAATTTTTTTTATGGATTTCAGAGAGGACGGGAGAGATAGAAACATCAATGATGAGAGAGAATCATTGATCGCTGCCTCCTGCACACTTTTTACTGGGTATATGCCCTGACCGGGAATCGAACCGTGACTTCTTGGTTCATAGGTCTGTGCTCAACTACTGAGCACACCTGCTGGGCTCATTCTCCATTTTAAATAAATTATTGAAAAGTGTGTAGTAAGTACACATTTTATATTTTCATTCTAACAGGTCTCTTAACTACAGAAAAATGTTAATATTATTTTCATTTGAAAAAACATTCTATAAAGGCACTGAACTAGCTAATCTTTTCATATGTATACACACACACACACACACATGTTTTATTGATTTTTTACAGAGAGGAAAGGAGAGGGATAGAGAGTTAGAAACATCAATGAGAGAGAAACATCGATCAGCTGCCTCCTGCACACGTCCCACTGGGGACGTGCCCTCAACCAAGGTACATGCCCTTGACCGGAATCAAACCTGGGACCTTTCAGTCCGCAAGCCAACACTCTATCCACTGAGCCAAACCAGTTAGGGCTTAAGAAATAAACATTAATTCCTTTTTGTGAAGATTTATTTAGATTAAGTTAGGTTTTAGAAAGTTTAATTCAAAACCTACACATATTTACTGCAATGTTTGAATTGATTAATTTTAGACCGAACTCAGCTAGATTATTGAATAACTAGAGGCTCAGTGCATGAAATTCATGCACTCGGGGAGGAGGGAGGGGAGTCTCTCAGCTTGTGCCCTCTCGCAGTCTGGGACCCCTCAGGGGATGTCCAAGCGGGCCTAAGCTGGCTGTTATACATCCTTAGCGCTGCCCCAGAGGTGAGAGAGGCTCCCGCCACCGCCACTGCGCTCACCATCCTGTGAGCCCAGCTTCTGGCTGAACAATGCTCCCCCTGTGGGAGCACACTGACCACCAGGGGGCAGTTCCTGCATTGAGCATCTGCCCCCTGGTGGTCAGTGCACATCATAGCAACCGGTCATTCTGCTCTTTGGTCGATTTGCATATTAACCTTTTATTATATAGGGTAGTTTGGGACCTTTAGTAAAGGAAAAACTTATAAAACTATATGTATAGCTATTTGACTCTTGTTATAATGCCCACCTTATTTTTCTGGCCATTATTTTGTAAAACTTCTTTTCTCTTAGCTTGATAAAGATGACATGGTCTACATGGAAGCATATGACAAGTTGCTGGAGTCCTGGCTGACTTTGGTCCAAGATGACAAACATTTCCATAAAGGCTTTTTTACCCAGCATGCAGTTCAAGTCTTCAATTCCTATATTCAGTGCCACCTGGCCGCTCCAGATGGCACAAGGAATTTGGTAAGTTTTAAGCCAGATTGTGATTAAAAATGTGTTTCAGTATAGGCTCTATTTTGTCAGTTTTTATCCTCTTGTACATTGTATAATGCTAGAAATTTGGACTGAACTTCTTCAGAATACTTGCTGAGAGCATTAGAGAGCTATGTGGTCCCTTGTCTAAATGCACCATGTTTTGTGGTATGTAGTTAGTAGTTTAACTTTTTTTCTCTTCAATTTTCAGTTACCCACCTTTGTCTTTCTAGTTTTCAAGTGGTATTAATGACTTTGTGTTTACACGGATCGTGGATCTTAAAGATGTCAGATCTTTTCAGTGACAGAAGTTAAATTCTGTGGTGTGGGAGGTGGGTTGTTAGTGGGCAGTCAACTGTGTTTCCATGTGTTCTGTGGGTTTATATCCTTCACTTCTTTCTCCTCTGTGTTTTCCCCCTCCCTCTCATTGGGTGACTGTAAGGCTGTCAGCACAGTTAGATAGGGGTCTCTAGACAGCTGCACTGAAGGTTAGCTCTGGCCAGCTCCCCTTCTCACGTGAAGTGCGGAAGGTATTTCATAGTGCAACAGAAATGCGTGGCTTATGGGATGAGGGCATACACCTCATTACTGATTATTTCTCTCATTGAAAACAGACTGCCAATGGTGTGACCTCTCGTGAGGAAGAGGAAATAAGTGAACTTCAAGAAGATGACCGAGACCAGTTTTCAGATCAACTAGCCAGTGTAGGAATGCTAGGAAGAGTTGCCGCAGAGCACTGTATACCTCTTCTGACAAGGTACACACAGGCCAGAGAACCCATGGAGCAAATACTCTGTACTTACACTTCCTTGAAGAGCACTTTATACACTCCTACCCAATTTACACACTGGAGCAAATGGACAGAAACACACTCATGGTTGCAGTCCTTGGCTTTTACATTGGAGCCCAGGTACTACAGCATAGATGACAGAGATTATGGAAACATGGTGTGAGACATGATTTGACCCATATCAATAAAAACTTGGAATATCCAGCTTTCAAATGCCTGTTTTAAACCTTGATTATTTGTAAAGCACTATTTTAATTCTGTTATAAATGATACATCACAGTTCCTGTAGTGCTGTGAGAACAGCTGTGTATAATAATAAATACTTTTGTATATATCTTTTCGTGCAACATCTTAATTTATGTTAATAGTGGAGGCCCGGTGCATGAAAATTCATGCACTGGAGTGGGGAGGGGGGGTCCCTCAGCCCAGCCTGCCCCCTCTCACAGTCCAGGAGCCCTCAGGGGCAGGAGGCGACCTGGTGATCAGGGGAAGGCGACACCCCATCACACCTCTACTGCTGCCACTGCCAGCAGCGCAAGCCTCGGCCAGCCTGGTTACCTGAGCCTCGGCTGGCCCTGGGCGGCTGGGGGCTGAGGGGACTGGGGGACTCTGGAGGCAGGCATGCAGAGTGGCCAGGCCCGCCTGGGGGTGGCCCGGCCTTGCCATGCGCCTGCCACCCCAGTGGGGCTGAAGGGACTGGGTGCCACCATCTTATGGCTGTGGGTGCTGCCATCTTTCAGGGCAGGACAGTTAATTAGCATATTCCCTCCTTATTGGCTGTGGGTGCTGCCATCTTTGAGAGTGGGGCAGTCAATTAGCATATTCTCTATTGGCTCTGGGTGTCGCCATCTTTTGCGATGGTGTGAGGGTCAATTAGCATATTCCTGCTTTATTAGATAGGCTATGGAAATTATGTTATTCTAGGTCTTTGCTTACTGAACTTTATGAAACTATTATTTTTTTCTTCTTTTAGTTTATTAGAAGAAAGAGTAACAAGGCTCCACGGTCAGTTACAGCGACATCAGCAGCAGTTACTTGCTTCACCTGGTTCAAGCACCATTGACAGCAAAATACTTGATGAGCTATATGAAGATATTCACTGGCTTATTTTAGTTACAGGTTGGTTGGTTGTTTATTTTTAACAATGTAATTGCCAGCTGAGCAGTTTAAGCCTTAAAAATAAATTTCATGTATTAAAAAGAATAGTCCATACATAGTATTGGATGAAATTTGGCAACAGCTGCTATGTTACAGCTACAGATGCATTTTTTTTTTAAAATATTAGCTAACATGTATTTAGTGCCAATTGCATACCAAATATTTTATGTAGAGATCATTGTAGCCCACTGAATTGGTATTATTTTTAGGTATTATTATTGTCATTATTATTATCCTCTTCTTATAAATGAATCTGAGACTTAAAGAGTTGTAAGGAACTAGCCCATGGTTACACTGCTATTAATTTTTGGAGCCAGTATGCAAATCTAGTCAGTCTGACTTTTAGAGTCTTCTTCTGTAACCATACTGTCAGTGTTTCTGTATTTTAAATAATCAGAAAAAATCTTAATTTTTGAAAAGGCATCCCTAAATATTAAGTTTTGACATAGATAATGGTAGCATTCTTATTAACTTTACAGAATATATTACTGAAAATTATTAAAAGGTAGTAAATTAAAAAGCCTACATATCAGTATGAGTGATAAAGTTGTTGAATAAAACACTTGTCCTTTGGTTTTTCCTGTTTTTTTGAGAGTTAATTATCTAAGAAATAGAACGTTTCTTCTCATCAAACTTGAAATAACATTACATTTATAATTTACATTTACATCAATTTATATGATGTATGTAAATCAAATAAAACAAAACATTTATAGTGCAATTTGATAAATGTAGATTTGTTAAGTGTTCATTTTTAATTTTTTTTAAACTGAAGGCTACCTCTTAGCTGATGATACTCAGGGAGAGACTCCGCTAATACCTCCAGAAATAATGGAATATTCCATTAAGCATTCATCTGAAGTTGACATTAATACAACACTTCAAATTTTGGGATCTCCAGGAGAAAAGGCTTCTTCCATCCCAGGGTACAACAGAACAGATTCTGTGATTAGGTAATATGAACTCTATAGCTGTGCTCTTGTAATTTATACTGTCTTATTAAGTTCTGAGTTGATGGGTAGATGACTCAAGTGATAGGTACGTTATAAATCTGATACATGAAAGAAGATAAAACTTGGAGAAGCCTTGAAATAAACAAGGACGGCAAGTACTCAGTATATTTAAGCAATGCCACTCTGGTGAGATTGACAGCCATACCCAGTACTGAGGAGAACAAGCATTCAGTTATTCTGAATACAGGGAGACTTTGAGGGCACATTTGCTCTAATGCACTGTGATTATATCCATCAGAAAGCAGTACTGATACAGGTACAGGCACTCTAAATGCAAGAAACAGAATATGAGATTATTAGACCCAATGAATGTTAACAAGTATTTATTGTTCATAAAGTTAAAACTGCACATTAGGGTCTTTCTTAAGGAAAACGGATTGTTATCTTACAAAATAGAAATATTTACCCCGAATATGTGAAACTTGAAAGCCCTGTCAGTGAAGGTAAAAGACTATGTGCCTCAAATGAAAGAATTCACTTTTCTAATAGCAATGGCAACTTTTTCATTACTTCTTAATGGTGACATTAAGGAGGGATAAATCTGAACTAAATGTCTTCCGAAAAGTGAATTTGTAAACAGCATTATAAATTTCAGTGTATTTATTTAAATTTAGGTTTCAGGCAGAAATGTCAATAATGAAATAACATTGGTTTTTGTCAGTTGCAAAGTCAGTAACTCAAACAGGGTGCTGTCCCCCTTATTTTTTTTTTTAAATATATTTTATTGATTTTTTACAGAGAGGAAGGGAGGGATAGAGAGTTAGAAACATCGATGAGAGAGAAACATCGATCAGCTGCCTCCTGCACGCCTCCTACTGGGGATGTGCCTGCAACCAAGGTACATGCCCTTGTCCAGAATCGAACCCGGGACCTTTCAGCCCGCAGGCTGGCGCTCTATTCACTGAGCCAAACCAGTTAGGGTCCCCTTATTCTTTTTACTTAATGCCCAAATACATGGAGATCACTAAGCTTGTGCAGTAGAAAATATGATTTTTTAAAAATTGAACTCATAAGTTAATATCAAGGAAATGTTTGGGAATTTATTCCTTTATTCTTGCATTCTCTTGTTCGAAATAAAATATTAAGGCTCTATTGAAAAGTTCTGTTCCTTTTAGAATGACTATAGGCATAGGATTAAGTCTGAAAATCATTGCTTTTGCTTTGGTTTGATTCATGGTGAATGATAATTAAAAGGCAGTTCATTTCAGCATGCTGTTACATGATATGCTTTGTCATATTTCTTGCCTGAGCAGTACTGTCAGATTTATTGTCTGGGCAGTACCATCAGGAATGCTTTCCTTGTATTTTCAGTGCTTTTTCAATTTTTGCCAGTCCCAGGTATCACTGTGGGAGCAAAACATTTTGGTATCTGAGAGCACAGACTATGGAGGGAGAAGGTGAGAGTTGGAACAACCACCAAAAAAATTGTCTTTTTATTTTATTTTTTTAGTCTAGAAAATTAATGTGAAATTAAATGGTATATAGGACAAATATTCCTTATTTGATTGAAAAACTAATTTACATTTCTTGAAATTATTTGGCAAATAGTTGAATACCTCCTACATATCAGGTACTGTTCAAAGCATTTGGGATACATTAGTGAGCAAAATAGACAAATTGCTTCCCTTTTGAAGCTCCTTGTAGGGGAGAGATAATCAATTATGTTGTATGTTAGGAGACCATAAGTGCTGTGGTAAGAAGCTGAGCAGGGTCGGGAATCAGGAGTGCAGACTCAGGGACTGCTTGTAACGTTAAATAATGAGTCAATGTTGGTTTTCTTTAGAAGGTGTCTGGTGAGCCAAGGCTTAGGGTTGGTGAGAGGCCAGGGAGGCTGGGAAGAACATTGAAACAGTGAACAGCAGATGCCGAGGCCCACCGCAGGCAGTCATCCAAGAACAGCAGGAACGGCTACTGTGGATGGAGCAGAGTGAGGAAGAATTGTGTAGCAGATGAGGTTAGAGAGGAAAATACTAGTAGAGGGGATCAGTGAAGTCTTTGGGCCTTTGTAGTTTCTGATCTGAATGGAGTGGGTGCTCTTGTAGGGTTTTGAGGTGACGGTGCTGCATTGAGGGTAAACTACCTGGGGCAGAGGTGGGAGCAGGAGATCAGTGAAGAGGCTATTTGCTGTCATCCAGAGAAAGATGCTGTTCCAGACCAGAGTGATAGTAGAGGTTGTGAGACTTTAAAGAAAGCTCTCTTTGACTCACTGTGCTGACTTCTGGTTTATGAATTGAGAAGGTAATCCCATGTTTCCCATAATACCAGGACTGGGTTATTTGGGACACTGAATGCTGTCTGAAATGTAAAGTATGTTCAGATAGCACGCTGAAGAAACTGAAGTAGGACCAGGGTATCAATCTTGGGATAGCAACAACTAAAACAACATTGTGATGTTTTCAGTTGTTTCAACTTCTCTGAGAATGTGGTAGAAGGGTGATAGAGAGTGATGCAGGAGGACCAAGGGAGGGGCTCCTGACAAGAGGTGGCATTTAAACTGACACTTGGAGGATGAATGGGAACTTGCAGCATAAAGAGGAAGGAAAATAGTATTCCAGGCACTGACAGCAGCCTAGCAAAGAGTCCAGGAGTGAGAGGAGGCTCATGTGAGAGGAGACTCATGTGCACACATGAGGGGAGAGGTGTTGGTTGAAGGTAGAGAAGTAGGGTGGGCCAAAGAAGTTGGATTAAAAGTGTTGAAAGGGTTTGAAACAGGGAAGTGAGTTAATCAAATTGTTTTATTAGAAGATTGCAGTGTGGAAGCTGGATATAAAGGATGGCTGGTAAGTTAGGAAGCATTTCCATTAGTGGAGTGAAGATGGGGGAAGGGCAGATGGATAACAGGTGTTTCAGGGGCAGCTCTTGGGGACTTTGGGGTTGATCAAGAGTGGTGAGGAGAGAGGCAGGAATGAGGACAGGCTCCCGGAGCCCAGGGTTCATCTTCCTGTGGTACTCTTCTTGACCTTGCTCCCATTTTACAAAGAAAGGGCAAACTCTTCCTTGTTCCAAGTCTTACTGTGATGGGTTGTCAGGTGTGTAGAAACCTGCAGAGTTCCAGATAGTGTGGTATTGGGGTTGAGTGACTGGAGTAATGGTAAACCAGTAATTTTATAAGTCAGGAGGTTTTCAGTCCTTTGCCTTAAATACCACTGAAGAGTGACTTAATAAAGCTGTCAGTTATCATGTTATTAAAAATAGTTTTTGGTGGTAGAGCTCTAGTGATTTTTGGCATATAACTTGCAACAAGTTCAGATAATTTAGGGCTCTGCTATTTTTTAAATGCCTTCAATTTCCTTACATGAATGAGTTTTCACAGTCTTTTTATCTATTAAAATGAAAAACAAGAGCCAAATTATACTCAACTCTGTCTTATTTTAGCAGTAAGAAATATTTTTTCACAGGTACATAAATTTATTTTAAAAATAAAACCCTGCTACATCAATCTCATTCAGACATATTTATGTTTAATAATTTAAATGTGTGTTGATATTTTGTGCAATTGTGTACTACTAAGTATTGTAATAACTCAATATAGAAGACATTTTAAAAGTCTTACAATCATTGGAAATTTTATAAAATTATATTTTAGTAGCTAGACATATCTGTTTTCCAACTGTTAAAAACTTGTTTATTTTTCAAATGGATGGTGGTGAGTATCGCAACAGCATGGTAATTAAATTCCAGTGCATAAATTTAAGTGGCTACCCCAGCTATTTCAAATTCTATTAGGCTGAAAATTATAATACTTAAAACTATTCTTTAAAACAATTCTTCTAGATGTCTTAATGAGATTTCTTTGTTTTAGAGAAGAACAGCTTCTTAAAAACATCAAATTCTGTCTCACCAAAACTATTTATTCTTATAGGGAAATTTTAATATATTGTGAAGTTGTCAGGATATTATTGTTTACATGCACCCTAAAATAATTTTTTTTAAGTTTGAACACTGGTGGTGAAGGGAGTATATATAGTGAAAAAGAAGAGGTTCTAGGGACAGAACCTTAGAAACCAACTGTTTTAAAGAAGAAGGAGATCAGAGGACAAGAGGATGGCATAACCCGAGGAAGAGTAAGAAACAAATTAGGGGAAATATGGAAAATATGGTACAAGGGAAGACATTTCAAAAGGGCAGAGTGGTCAGTAGTATCTGGTATTTCTGAGACATCCAACTGGATAAAAAACTGAAATGTCTGTATGATTTCATTACAAAGAGACAGTTCAGTTATCTTGAGAGTAGTAGGAAGGCAGTGGCCAGACTTGCTGTGATTAAAACCCCTTTCTTAGCACTGATAGTCACAAGATGGTGTGGTAAGGGGTTCTTTCAATTAAATCTTTGCTTCTTTGCCTTTAGCTAAAGGCAACTTAAATATATATCATGTCTAGTTATGTGTTCCCTTAATCCCATTCTGGAACAAAGGCTTTTTTTATTTATCTGCACGTCATGCTGCGTTGTTAATTATGTAGTATAGAAAAGGACATTTCATACACCATGTAGGTGATTTTTCCAGTAAGATTTTAATTTTTTAATACCATTAAGAATCAAGTTTTATAGGAAATGAATAGGACTATCAGATTTTTAAAAATCCTCATCCAAAGATATGTTTGTTTGTTTTTGAGAGAGAGAGAGAGAAACATACATGCATGTGAGAGAAAAACATTGGTTGGTTGCCTCCCGTAAGCATCCCTACTGGGAATCAAACCTGCAACCTAGGTATGTACCCTGACCGGGAATTGAACCTGCAGTCTTTTTGATGAACAGGATGACACTCCAACCAATTGAGCCATCTGGCTGGAACAGGACTATCAGATTTAGAGACAGGACTCAATATTCAAAACATTCTGGATAAGTCTATTACCAGACCCTGCACCATAAAATGGCCAATGCTAATCATGGCACTGTTAGGTAGTGATGGTGTGCTGAAAATGTTAGCATCTACTCAGAAATTTTATTTTATTGTATTGTATATATTTTTATTGACTTGAGAGGGAGAAGGAGAGAAAGAAAAATATCCATGTGAGAGAGAAACATCAATCGGTTGCCTACTGATTGGCAACCGAAACCCAGGCATATGCCCTGATGGGGAATCGAACTGGCAACCTTTTAGTGTACAGGATGATGCTCAACCAATTGAGTCACACTGGCCAGGGCTACTCTGAACTTTTAATTTTATGTATTTCTCCATTTTGAATCTGAAAAATTTCTTTAGAGAGTAATGCAGGTACAACTTTAACAGAAGGTTATCTCTGGCCACAGTTCCTCTCCATTTCTTTGTCTTGTTTGCTGCTTCCTGAAAGATCAGCAACAAAGTAGGGCATTTGTCTACAGCGTTATTAATGAAAATTTCAAGAATAACCTGGCCTAAATCCATAGAGTTGGGAAACAAAAAAAGGACTTTTATGAAGAAATTAACTAATAAACGAAGAATAATGACTTCTTTTTGTACCCATAGGCTGTTATCTGCTGTTCTCAGAGTTTCAGAAGTTGAGTCTCGAGCAATAAGAGCAGATCTCACTGATCTGCTAAGCCCTCAAATGGGCAAAGATATTGTTTGGTTTCTAAAACGCTGGGCAAAGACTTATCTCCTGGTGGATGAGAAGCTATATGATCAGGTCAGAATGTAAAACTGTTTAACTTCATTTGGATTTATGATTATGGCAGTTATAGAAATGAGAACATTTTCTTGGAGATTTTATTATCAAAATGTGACTAAGCTGAACATTTTCCACATTGAAGAGAACTGCATTAGTGACATGCTATTTTAATAACTTTTCTTAGAGCACATCATTTAATTCAGTGTACTTTAACCAATATTAAGTTATAGATTACTGTTTGAGAACAAATTAACTTATGTTCTTTGAATTTGTGTAAATATCATGTTAGTTTAATAATAACAATAATTAAAGTGAACAATAAAATCACATTGGATAATACTTCCAGCAATAAAGATAAATTTTAAAAAATCACATTGGAAAACATTAAGTGGATTGAGGATGTCTCTTTGGACTTACGGATATGAATTTATAAAATGATGTGAAGTGAGCAGCACTTCATATTTAGATGCTAATTTCAGTTTGATTTTTCTATGGATTTTTTTTTTTTAGCTGATCATTCTTTCTGACCTAAAAAATTGGTTTTTTCTTTAAGATAAGTCTACCATTCAGTACAGCATTTGGAGCAGATACTGAGGGTTCTCAGTGGATTATTGGCTACCTCTTACAGAAAGTCATCAGCAACCTCTCGGTGTGGAGTAGTGAGCAGGACCTTGCAAGTGACACTGTGCAGCTCCTTGTCACTTTGGTGGAAAGAAGAGAAAGGTAAGCTGATTGTAAGAATCAGGCTGTGTGTGTGTGTGTGTGTGTGTGTGTGTGTGTGTAATGAGCTTGCTTTTTAGTGTAGACTTTGCAAGTGACAACAATTGGTCCTAAGGTCTAGGTAGATCCTGCATTTTTGGAGCAGTGTGTTTAAAAAACAGTGTCATGTTATTATTACAAGTGCAAATAGGGCTTCCCTGTGTTACAAGTGAGGATTGCATTGACTGTTCAAGGATTCGGTATGAAAGTATCTTATGAGTACCATACGTATTTAATTTAGTAATTTATTTATATATTAAAGTTTTAAAAAACTTTACAATAAAATAGTTTCATTTGATTATTCAGGTATCCTATTAGTATTATCCCATTTTAAAGATGAGAAAAACTGATAATTTAGTAATTAAAAATTGCTTTCTACAACAGATTCTGGAAATGTTTTCATTTTTCTTACTGCATAGGAATACGATTATTATTATTACTATTGTCATTGACTACTACTTATTGATTTCTTATAATATACTAGGTACTTTTCCAAGCATTTCATATAAAGTATCCTATTTAATCACATCAATCTCAGCCAAGAGATGCAATGTTGTTTTTAATATTGTTATCCCTATTTACAGATCAGGAGACTGATTTAATAAGAGAGGTTAAATACATTTTACATAGTCAGATTACCAGTGGGATTTGAATGCAAGCTTGTGGGTCTCCAAATTCTATGCCCAGTTTACTATACTTGAAAATCAATTAAATCCAGCCTGGTCCGTGTTGCTCACTGGTTGAGCATCGACCCATGAACCAGGAGGCCATGATTCAATGCCCGGTCAGGGTCCATGCTTAGGTTGTGGGCTCAATCCCAGTAGGAGGCGTACAGGAAGCAGCTGATCAGTGATTCTCTCTCATCATCGATATTTCTGTCACTCCCTCTTCCTTTCTCTGAAATCAATAAAATTAAATAAATAAATAAAATTAATTAAATCCTGGCACCTTCCATTTTGTTTACTTAGTTTACATACAATCTAAGTGGTACATCTATCTTTTGTTGTTTTTGCCCATAGGGCAAACCTAGTAATCCAGTGTGAAAACTGGTGGAATTTAGCTAAACAGTTTGCGACCCGAAGCCCTCCTCTGAATTTTCTGTCCAGTCCGGTGCAGAGGACGCTGATGAAGGCCCTTGTCCTGGGAGGTTTTGCACAGATGGACACAGAAACCAAACAACAGTATTGGACTGAGGTAATCAGTTCCTCTGATGCTGATAGCACCCTCTGGTGGAACTTCGTTGTTTTATCTATGTATTGCCATAAAATAGTCCCTGGAGATATAAACATTGGTCATTGCTTTTCTGTTATTTTTCCCTTCTAATGTATGGGTTGAAGCTTATTATTTTGTAAATGTCATCTTATGATTTGTTTGTGTCTGCTTGTGATGATATTGAATGTTAATTATCACTATTCTGCAAGTGTTCTGCAGTTTAGGTATATTTTTCTCCCCAACTCAAATGAGAATCTGAAGTGGTATATTAATTCTTCACTAAGAATCAGTGAAATGTTCTTTTGTCTTGAACAAGGAAATACGAATTAACCATTGTATTAGTTTGTTAAGTCTGCAATAACAGAGTAACACAAACTTAGCGGCTTAAACAACAGAAATTCATTATTTCACTGCTGAAGGAAGGAAGGAAGTCTGAGATCAGGTGTCCAAGGGTTGGCTATATCTGAGGCTGCGAGGGATCATGTGGTCCAGGCCTCTCTTAACTTCTGGGGCTTTGCTGGCGATCTTCAGCATTCCTTGTCTTGTTGACACACCACTCCTACCTCTGTCTTCATCTTCACATGAAGATTTCCATGTTTTGTGTGCCTGTGTTCAAATCTCCCCTTTTTATAAGGACACCAGTCATACTGAATTAGGGAGTCTTTCCTAATGACCTGATCTTAATTTAACTAATTGTATCCGAAAACAGCCATATTTCCACATAAGGCCATGTTCTGAGTTTCTCGGGGTTTGGACTTCAACATAACAATTTTGCGGGGACATAATTCAACTCATAACAACCACCATGGACATTGCCTCACATAATAAGCTTTAAATTGGGAACCAAGACTTACCATTGTATGTAGGTTACCGACCTATGTCCTTAAGACTAGAAGGGGCAGACATTAGGGAGTTGTGACTTCAGAAGCAGAAAAACCAGGCTGACCATGTATTTTAGTTGAAATAACTGTGTTATTATACATACAGGTTTAAACAGAATTAAGATATTACCTTCATGAATATGTTTATTGACTCTTATACGCAGGGCATAACTGAGTATCCATAATTATGTCCTATACTACGAGGAGTTGAAAAGGAAAAAACCAGGCAGGTGCTTGTATTGGGCTTGACCCTGTAGAACAGAGGTTGGAAAACTGTAGCACACAGACCAAATTTAGTGTGCTGTCTGTTCCTATAAAGTTTTATTGAAACACAGCTACTCTTGTTGTTTATATGTTGTCCATGGCTATGTCTGAATGACAGCATAGTTGTAACGAAGTAGTTGGGCCAGAGGTGGCATATCCTGCCCAGTCTAAAATATTTACCCTCTGGCCCTTTATACAGGGTGGGGCAAAAGTAGGTTTATAGTTGTTCATATGGAAAATAATACAATAATTAATAAATAAATTATTATAAAAAAATATAAGAATAAACTCTGTTTTGTGTACTCAAACTGGAAAACTACTTTTGCTTATCCCTGTAGAACAGTGTCAGTCCCTACTTTGAGGTTTAATGTTTTATTGGAAAGAGATGAGGATAGTGGCTGAATTTTGTGGATGGCATTGAAGTTGTGTTCTGTGAGTTACGGGATTTCCTTCTCTCTCCCTCTCTCTCCCTCTCTCTTTCTTTCTTTCTTAAAGCTAAATTACTTAAGGAAGTGAGATGATGGCATGCACTTATATTTTTCCATGAATTATAATTTTTGCTGGATTGAGATTTAATTGACATACATCATTATATAAGTTTAAGGTGTACAGCATAATGGTTTGACTTACATATAATGTGAAATAAGTTCAGTTATCATCCATCATCTCATATCTCATATAGATACATTAAAAAGAAAAAACAAAAAAGAAAAATTTCCTTGTGAATACACTTACGATTTACTCTCTTAAAAGCTTTCCTATGTGCCATACAGTGTTAGCCATAATCATCAAGTTGTATATCACAGCGGTCGCCAACAGGTGGTCCTCGAGGACCAAAAGGTTGGCAACTGCTAGTATATCACATCCCTAGTGCTTACATTTATTTTATAACTGAGAGTTTTTTGTTTTGTTTTTTAATTAAATCTTTATTGTTCAGATTATTACAGTTGTTCCTCTTTTTCCCCCCATAGCTCCCCTTCATCTACTTCCCACCCCACCCTCCGCCCTCAAACCCCGCCCCCCCCCCCCCCACTGTCCTCATCCATAGGTGCACGATTTTTGTTCAGCCTCTTCCTGCATCCCCCACACCCCTCCCCCGCCCCAAGAATAGTCCACTCCCTTTCTATGTCCCTGATTCTATTATAATCACCAGTTTATTCTGTTCATTAGATTATTTATTCACTTGATTTTTAGATTCACTTGTTGATAGATGTGTATTTGTTGTTCATAATTTGTATCTTTACCTTTTTCTTCTTCCTCTTCTTAAAGGATACCTTTCAGCATTTCATCTAATACTGGTTTGGTGGTGATGAACTCCTTTAGCTTTTTCTTATCTGTGAGGCTCTTTATCTGACCTTCAATTCTGAATGATAGCTTTGCTGGATAAAGTAATCTTGGTTGTAGGTTCTTGGCATTCATCACTTTGAATATTTCTTGCCACTCTCTTCTGGCCTGCAAAGTTTCTGTTGAGGAATCAGCTGACAGTCATATGGGTACTCCCTTGTAGGTAACTGACTGTCTTTCTCTTGCTGCTTTTAAGATTCTCTCTTTGTCTTTTGCTCTTGGCATTTTAATTATGATGTGTCTTGGTGTGTTCCTCTTTGGATTCCTTTTGTTTGGGGTTCTCTGCACTTCCTGGACTTGTAAGTCTATTTCTTTCACCAGGTAGGGGAAGTTTTCTGTCATTATTTCTTCAAATAGGTTTTCAATATCTTGCTCTCTCTCTTCTTCTGGCACCCCTATAACTCAGATGTTGGTACCCTTGAAGCTGTCTCAGAGGCTCCTTACACTATCTTTGTATTTTTGTATTCTTTTTTTATTTTGCTTTTCTGGTTGGGTGTTTTTTGCTTCTTCAAATTTCAAATCTTTGACTTGATTCTTGCGCTCCTCTGGTCTGCTGTTGGGTGTCTGTACAATATTCTTTATTTCAGTCAGTATATGCTTAATTTCTATTTGGTCCTTTATCGCAACCTCCAGGGTCTCACTAGATTTCTTGAGGGTCTCATTAAGTTTATCAGCGGTTTCTAGAAAATTCTTGAAAAAACTTTAAAAGTGTGGTTTTGAACTCTATATCCAGTAGTTTGCTTTCCTCCATTTCTGTCATTTGTATCCTGTTTCTTTGTTTCCACATTTTTTTATGCTACGCTGTGTCGATAGAGTGGCTTTCTGTGCTAGGTGTCCTATAGGGCCCAGTGGCTCAGCCTCCCCAATTACCTGAGGCAGATACTCTTGGTGCACCCCCTTGTGGGTTTTGTGCACAGTCTTGTTGTAGTTAAGCCTTGATTGTTGTAGGTAACACTGGGAGGGATTGACCTCCAGGCCAATTGGCTGTGAGAATCATTGTGACTGCAGTGGGAGAACTTCTGTGCTGGAGACACCCCTCTGGGGCAAGACTTGCTTCAGTGGGACTTTGGTGCTCACTGAGTCTGCCCCCTGAGGGTGTCCTTTATGGATTCGAGGAGCTGCAATCTGGATGGTCCCACTCTGACCACCGGGCACACTGGCTCCTGGATCTCTAAGAAGATGCTAATCTAGCCTCTGCCTGAGGCTATCCAGCAGGAGCCAGCTGTGAAGCAATGCAAGTTGCCCTGGGGCCTTGGCCTAGCTGCAGTTCGTTGGGTAATTATCAGATTGTAAAGGGCCATGCCTTTCATATACAAAAGCCAGCACACAGCTTGGGCAGGGCGGGGTCGCAGGGGATCAACAGGGTGGAACAAGCAGCTGTGGCTGCCCTCAGAGGCCCCACGTCTCAGTGTCCGGGTAATTGTTGCAAGCACCTCTGAGAGAAAGCTGCCCTTGAGTTCCGACCGATGCCAGACCGTCCAGTTTCTCCCATATGAGTCTGGGTCCCCAGAGACTCGCTCGGAACTGCAGCTCAGAGCCTGAGACTCCCTCCCGATTGAAAAAGACAACTGTGTCCTCAGCCGCCAGCCCTCTCCGCATGCACTTCCGCACCTTTGTATTTTACTTCTGTACCGCACCTCCTCTGAGTCTCGGTATGCTTTTCTCTTTCCTTCTAGTTGTAGAATTTCCACTCAGCCAGCCTTCCTGTGGTTCTGGATGATATCCGTTCCGTCTTTCAGTTGTATTTTTGAAGTGGTTGTTCGAGGCAGCAATCTCTGGTGTTTACCTATGCTGCCATCTTGGTTTTTCCTATAACTGAGAGTTTGTACCTTTTGACCACCTGTCTTCAAATCCCCCTCCCTCCACCCCTACTGTTGGAAACAACAAAAGTTTTTCTGTGAGTTTGGTGCTTTTGTTTTGTGTGTGTGTGTGTGTGTGTATTTTTGAATAGATTCCACATATAATTTAAATCATACATTGTTTGTCTTTCTCTGTCTGACTTATTTCCCATGGTATAATGCCCTAAAGGTCCATCCATATTGCCCTAACTGGTTTGGCTCAGGGGATAGAGCGTCAGCCTGCGAACTGAAAGGTCCCAGGTTCAATTCCGGTCAAGGGCATGTACCTTGGTTGTGGGCACATCCCCAGTAGGAGGTGTGCAGGAGGCAGCTGATCGATGTTTCTAACTCTATCCCTCTCTCTTTCTCTCTGTAAAAAATCAATAAAATATATTTTTTTAAAAAAAGGTCCATCCATGTTGTCTCAATAGAGGATATTTTTGCGTGTGTTTTTTTATGGCTGAATAGTATTCCGTTGTGTACATACACCACCGCTTTCTTTATCCATCATCCATCAATGGACATTTAAAGTTAAACTGTTTCCATGTCTTGGCTATTGTATATAATGCTGCTGTGGCCATGTGGGTGCAGATACCTTTTCTAATTAGTGTTTTCATTTCCTCTGAATATGTACCCAGAAGTGGAATTGCTGTGTCATGTGGTAGTTCTATTTTTAATTTTTTGAGAAACCTCCATATTATTTTCCATAGTGGCTGCACCACTTTAGAAACCTACCAACATTGCAGGAGGGTTCCCTTTTCTCCACATCCTCACCAGTACAGACAATCCTCGAGTTACGTCGGACTTGACGTATGTTGTTTCGTGGTTACATCATCATCTCCCATTTATTTATAAAAAAAAAAAAAAAGTTCCATCATTTCGACGTATGTACATATGTGCTTTATGTTTATTTACCACAAATAAAGGTCAGGAATTGTTATTGTTCTTTAAACTTTTTTTACTGTTTCACTTCATTCCTGCTGTGTATGTGCTCCATGTGCGTGACGTAGGTGGGTTCCGACTTATGGCGAAAATCGAGTTACAATGTGCCATAGGAACGGATCTCCGACATAACCCGAGGACCTTCTGTATTTATCTGTTGTCTTTTTGATAACAGCTATTCTAACAGGCGTGAGGTAATGTCTACTTCATACAGAAGTTTTGATGACCCTCAAAATGGGGAATATAACGTGTGGTTCAGAATTCTTTGTTTTCTGTGCTTTTTCTTCCTCCAGCAGTTAAAAATGTTTTGGAAAGTGACTGTTTTTCTTAGTTGAGGTAGTAAAGATGAAGAAAAAAATAAGGTATGTGAATTAGCCTTTTAGAAAATCCATGCTTTGTTTTTATAGGTTCTTCAGCCATTGCAGCAGCGATTCTTAAGGGTGATAAATCAGGAAAACTTTCAGCAGATGTGCCAACAAGAGGAGGTCAAGCAGGAAATCACTGCCACGCTAGAGGCCCTATGTGGCATTGCCGAGGCTACCCAGATTGACAACGTCGCGATCCTTTTTAATTTCTTAATGGACTTCCTTACCAATTGCATTGGATTGATGGAAGTTTACAAAAATACCCCCGAGACTGTCAATCTCATAATAGAAGTTTTTGTTGAAGTTGCACATAAACAGATATGTTATCTTGGAGAGGTGAGTGCTTTCAAAGCTTATCCCTTCAGGATTAAAACTCCTTAAAACTATAACAAAATAATAGGTACTTGCCTTCAAATTTAATGCATATTATCTGAAATGTTTTTATGCCTCCAGAAGGTTTTTCAAAATACTGTTTTCAAAAGAAATTAGAATTCAGAGTAAGGCATGTTGAATGAATATAAATTCTTGCCCTAAACACATGTTAATAATCAGTAATTTCTTTGGGCTAATTTGCTATTAGATCAAATCATTCAAATGAGGAATATTTGATAAAACAAATGAATTATGGTAGAGAACTTTGACCAATTTCTCTATGGTAGAACACTAAGGCCTAAAAATATTTTTTAAGGGTTTTCTTTTTTTTTTTTTTTTTTTTTTTTTTATTGATTTCGGAGAGGAAGGGAGAGGGAGAGAGAGATAGAAATATCAACTATGAAAGAGAATCAATGATCAGCTGCCTCCTGCACACCACCCACTGGGGATCGAGCCCACAACCCAAGAATGTGCCCTGACCAGGAATCGAACTGTGACCTGGTTCATAGGTCAATGCTCAACCACTGAGCCACGCTGGCAGGGCAGGCCTAAAAATTTTAATGGCAGTTTGTATAGTCTGTTTTGTAAATCAGATAAGTGTTTAGACATACTAAATTATTTTATATTTATTAAGCAAAGATGTATTTTCGTTCCATTAAATTATTTAGAAAGCTCTTTAAAAACAGCCTTAAACATATATTTATACTTGTTAGCAGCAGATTAGCTTAAATCTTATCTAAATCATTTAATATGGGCTCCTGACTTGTATTTTTTTTTATTAGATCAAAGGAACCTACTTGAAAGTGAGGTTATATTTAAAATATTAAAAATGTAGTCACAGTTAAATTATTGAGAGGGCATGACAGTGCCATTCTCATGTTTAAGACCACTGTTTGGTACTCTGTGTTTTTGCAAGTTATACAGTTTTAAATCTTAAAATCAATGAAGAAGTTGAATAGCAGCAATAAAGTAGTTCTGTTGCCAAAGTCTTATCATCTCTAGTCAAGTGAATAAAAAAAATGGATATTATATTTTATTGCTGGAAAACTGCTAATATTTTAAGCATGACTAATTAGTGTGTAATTTTTCATTTTTATTAATGTTTTAATATAGTTTAAAACAAGCATTTGAGATCATTGGGATTTCGAGTAAATGTATTAGATTATATTTTTAAATTTAATATTTATATTTTTTTGGTAGCCTAATTTCTGCATGCTTTCTTACAGTCCAAAGCGATGAACTTATATGAAGCCTGCCTCACTTTGTTGCAAGTATATTCTAAGAATAATTTGGGACGGCAAAGAGTGGATGTCACAGCGGAGGAGGAACAATATCAGGACCTACTTCTTATTATGGAACTTCTTACAAACCTTCTGTCAAAAGAGTTCATAGACTTCAGTGATACAGGTAGGGTGTGAACTTTGTTATTTTTTTGTTGTTGTTAAAGGATATTTTCGTTAAGTAAAATCTTATGAGGAGTTCAGTTTACAGAATAGATGAAAATGTCATCTCTGGTCACTAAAGTGAGGGCGGAACCCCCGGTCTTCCCTGCCTGGCTTTCCTCTTGTAAAGAAGAATAGTAAAATCTTTCACCTGTTAGGTTCTTACCAAATGCCAGGTATTATTCCTATCAAAATGGCGTGAAGTAGGTACCACTGTTACACTCATTTTATAGATGAGAAACAGGTGCAGGAAACACTTGCCCACAGATCTGGAGCAGTAAATTGCAAGACTAGATCACATCCTGGCACCAGACTTCAGAGTTATGCTTTAGTGACTGGTCCCTCTATGTCCTGAGGAGGCTGTCCTGGAAAGCCTTCCAGAGTGAGGCTTGGGAATCATGTTGGGGTGCGAAATACTGACCTCTGGAGCTCACAGACCACCCTTGGGAGAGTAACTTAGTGGCTCACGGACAGCAGAACCCTGGGGAAGTCAGTCATCCTTCCACTAACTTTCTTAACTTTTCACTGGGTGTGCTTTAGAGTGTAGAGTGTTCACGGATGAGCTCAGAAGTCTTTGGTCCTGAGCTTGGTGCCTGGTAGCCAGGAGTTATTATAGGTGAGAACTTCACTAGTAATTGAAACCTTATGTATTTGTAGAGTATTCTCTTACCTCCCTCCTACCTCACGGCTCATTTTCCCTTAACACAAAAGAGATCTTGCTTTTTAAGAGAAAAACAAATCCTGTTGAGCATCTCCTTTGAAGTTCTGCAGATATTTATTGTTGTGGACACTTCTTCCTTATAAGATTCTCTTTTTGAGCTGGGTGCTGTAACTTTCCACTTTCCTTATTATGCCCCATACTTGAGATTGTTCTTTCTCTGTTTCCTTATTCACTGGACAACAATTCTTTTCACTGTCTGTGTATTCATGAGCCCCCAAGTGAAACCGTTTTTAAGACCCTGTCCCACATCCCCTCAGTGCTTCCTTCCTATACCAAAGCTGAAATGGCCACTCTGCCAGGTGCCAGGCCCACCTCTCACACGAGTGTTATTCCCATCCTTTCTGATTTCTTTAGGTCAGTCTTTAATTCAGGAGTTCTCAACCTTTTCCAGGTTGTGAGCCTTTAAATCCTGAATTAGTTACTGAGCCTTTTCCTTGAAAAGTTAGTTTTATACCAACCTGCAGTTTCACACACTGTATCCGTTGATTGATGGGCTCTTGGTAACTTTTCTGTAGACTTTCCAGGATGTAAGCACCCTGTCAGAGCTCAGTACCCTGAGTAATTTGAGTTAAAAATCAGAGCTGATACTGAAAGGGCGGGAGAGCTCTTAGGAGCATTTAGAGCAGTGGTTCTCAACCTGGCTGCACATTAGAATCACCTGGGAATCTTTTTAAAATCCTGATTTCTGGGCCTCATCCTCTGGAAATTCTGTTTCTTTGCTATGGGGTGAGGCCACAACATTAGTAACAAAGAAACAATTTCTGGAGAATGAGGCCCAGAAATCAGGATTTAAAAAAAAATTCCCAGGTGATTCTAATGTGCAGCCAAGGTTGAGAACCACTGCATTAGAGGGAAAAGCCCCTGCAGTCTCCCAGGTTTATGATAGAAGTTGCACTTCATCTTGCTGTTCTATAACAAATGAGAGAGCAAACACTACAGTTAAACAGGAGAGAGGAAGTTTTCAAAATAAAAGAGCAAAAACATTCAAGTTATAATTAAACATTAAGAAAAGACATTGAGGTTAAAATGCTCAGGATTGAAAGTACAAAGTAAGGGGGGAAAGAATAAAATAAGGGTAAATAGGATTGAAGTTCAGATGATAGAAAAATGAAGACAGTTAAAATAGAAAAATGATAAACAGCATTAACTATTTAAATAGATGGTAAAAAGGAAGATAATATTTTTAAGTCATTATTTTTTAAATAAAGCTAATAGATGAGATAAAAACAAAATATTTTAAGTATTATGAAATGAAATTAACATGCTGGATGGCCTATTATATGCATAACTGGCAATGTAGCTTTGTTCTCCATTTTTGAATCCTTAGTAGAGCTCGTGGCTGGAGAGCTGTGCCCATCAAGCACCAGGTCACAGCCTCCAAGTAGAGAGCCTGTTTTGTTAGGGAAGCCTGCGGGCAGTGCCAGAACAGCCTCACTGCCCAGACAGGCCTCAGGTTTGTATGCCTTGCTTTGGAAGATGGGATTCTTCCAAATGGAACTGAGACCCCTATGGAGAAGTTCAGAATTAGGCGGTTTTGAAGTAGAATTTTTTATTTACCCCATTTTATCTTTTCCCCCCTTGTTCTAAAGTAGTATGCTCTTAATAGAAAAATTTTAAAGTACAGAGGCAGAAAAATCACCCATACTTTGATATAATCCAGAGTAAACTGGTAATTTCCCATTTGCTTCTTTTGTACAATTTTCTTTGCAGTCGTATAATTTTATAGCCTGCCTTTTAAAAATATATATACTTTTTATTGATCTCAAAGAGGAAGGGAGAGGAAAAGAGAGATAGAAACATCAATGATGAGAGAGAATCATTGATTGGCTGCCTCCTGCACGCCCCACACTGGGGATGGAGCTCACAACCCAGGCATGTACCCTGACTGGGAATCGAACTGTGACCTCCTGGGTTCATGGCTCGATATTCAACCACTGAACCACACTGGCTGGGCATTATATTCTGCCTTTTTTATTAATGTACTAGGGGCCCGGTGCATGAAATTGGTGCACTGGGGTGGGGGGGGGGCGGTGTCCCTCAGCCCAGCCTGCCCCCTCTCACATACTGGGAGCCCTCAGGGGATGTCCTAGTGACGGCTTAGGCCCATTCCCTGCTCCCCTTGGGGATAGGGCCTAAGCCACAGTCTGGCCTCCCTTTGTGGGAGGTGACTGGGCTGATCAGGGGAAGGCACCAGTCCCATCAACCCGCTGCTGCACCCACTGCCAGTCACTGCAGCCACCAAAGTTTTTTTCACCAACACGGACTCCAGTCTCTTCACCATAAAAAAATTACAACTTTCTTTAGGCATTTTCAAGATGTGTCTTTCATATAATAATAATTTCTTTATTATTATTTTTTTGTCCTCACCTGAGGATATGTTTCCATTGATTTTTAGAGAATGTGGAAGAGAAAGGGAAAGACAGAGAGAAACATCAAAGTGAGAGGAACACTTTGATTGGTTGCCTCCTGTATGAGCCCTTACCTGGGCCCAGGCCAGGGAGGAGCCTGCAACCTAGGTACATGCCCTTGGTCAGAATTGAACTCAGACCCTGCCATCGGCAGGCCAAGGCATTATCCACTGAGCCAAACCAGCTAGGGCAGGATATGACATTTCTTAGCCCTCCAGCAGTGGACCTTCGTTTTTTTCGCCAGGAGTGTGGTGAAAAACCCTAGATCACCTTTTTGGATTCTTATTACCCAAGTTACTAAGAATATTACCAGTGGCATACAGGAAGCTTAACCAGTGAGTGGTCAGAAAAGGTGTTTCCTCTGTAGTTCACACCAATCCCCGGCTTGCCTCCACCCCCCGCCCCAGGCCTGATGCCTCTGGCCCAGGCTTCAGGCCTGGGCAGGGGACTCCCATCTCCCTCTGATCACCGGCTCGGCCCCCCACCCAGGCCCCTCCGATTGCTGGCTCCGCCCCCTGCCCAAGTCTGATGCCTCTGGCCCAGGCTTTAGGCCTGGGCAGGGGACCCCCACATCCCCTGATCACTGGCTCCGCCCCCCACCCAGGCCTGAAGCCTCTGGCCCAGGTGTCAGGCCTGGGCAGGGAACCCCCAGACCCCTCCGATTGCCGGCTCCACCCCCTGCCCAGGCCTGACGCCTCCGCCAAAGGTGTCAGGCCTGGGCAGGGGTCCCCCATCTCCCCCGGATCACCGGCTTCTGGGCAACTTCTGGGGCTTCTGGGGCTGGCCTGCAGCCTGGGATGGCGGCTCCCACTGGCGGCTGTGCTGTCCCGCCCTGCCTTTAGTATGCAAATTAGCCGCCATCTTTGTTGGCAGTTAATTTGCATATTGTGCTGATTAGCCAATGGGAGGTGTAGCGAAGGTACAGTCAATTACCACGTTTGTCTATTATTAGATAGAATTATTGACCCTTTTCTCTTTATTAAAAAATTTTTATGACTTTTTTAAAATATATTTTATTGATTTTTTACAGAGAGGAAGGGAGAGAGATAGAGAGTCAGAAACATCGATGAGAGAGAAACATTGATCAGCTGCCTTCTGCACATCTCCTACTGGGGATGTGCCTGCAACCCAGGTACATGCCCTTGACTGGAATCGAACCCGGGACCTTTCAGTCCACAGGCCGATGCTCTAGTCACTGATCCAAACCGGTTTCGGCAAAAATTTTTTATGATTTTTTGGTGGCTGAATGGTTTTCCACATTTGGGAATTTAATCAATTTCACTGATATTGGACTTCTGAAATATTTATGATTTTACTGTTATAAATAGAGATACATAATCATTTCTGTGGACAAATCCCTGTCTGAATTTCTGATTATATCTTTTAGTATATACAGTGCTCAAAAGGTTTTCACTATATAGCTCTTAAAGGTAACTATCACACTATATCCTGACCAACATGTACATATTATCCTTTAAAAGTCATCTTGAGCCCTTGCCAGTTTGTCTCAGTGGATAGAGTATCGGCTTATGGGCTAAAAGGTCCTGGGTTTGATTCCGGCAAAGGGCACATACCTTGGTTGCAGGTTCCCCAGCCCTGGTTGGGTACGTGCAGGAGGCAACTAATCAGTGTATCTCTCTCACATTGATGTTTCTCTCTGTTTCTCCCTTTCTCTTGCACTCTCTCTAAAAATCAATGGGAAAATATCCTCAGGTGAGGATTAACAACAACAAAAAAAGTCATCTTGAATTTAATGAATCAGAAATAGTAACTTTAGTCCTGGCCAGTTGTTCAGTTGTTAGAACATCAGCCTTTGGACCGAAGGGTCGAGGGTTTAATTCCTTCTCAAGGGCACATACTTTGGTTGTAGGTTCAATCCGTGGTCCTGGTTAGGGCATGTGCAGGAGGCAACCAGTTGATGTGTCTCTCATACCAATGTTTCTCTCTCTCTCTTTCTCTCCTCTTCTCCTCCCCCCCTCCCACACTCTCTCTGGAGATCAATGAAGAAAATATCCTTGGGTGAGGGATTTAAAAAAAAAAAATTGCATTGCTTGATTAGAATGAACTGTTTTTCATTGGTTGGTGGTTTTGTTAGATGTTTGTTTATGGACTTTGCTTGCTTATCTGTTTAGGTCTTATGATTCCTACTAATTTATAGGCATGGATTAAGGATAATGAACACTTCATCCTGGTAGCTCTTTTTTAAAAAAAAATGACTTTCTCTTTTATATAACATATTAATTTCCATATTTTCCCCCATTCCTTTTCAGCTAAAAAAAATTCCACACACGTAAGAGATAAACTAGATATTATTGTGGAAATTAATTAATTCATAGTGCGACTAGTGTGTCAGTAGGTTTACTTTTCACAGCATTGATTTAGCTTTAGTTTTCTCTTATTATTTTAAATATATTTTTTATTGATTTCAGAGAGGAAGGAAGAAGGAGAGAGCGATAGAAACATCAGTGATGAGAGAGAATCATTGATCGGCTCCCTCCTTGAACACCCCATACTGGGGATTGAGCCCGCAACCGGGCGTGTGCTCTGATCGGGAATCAAACTTTGACCTCCTGGTTCATAGGTCGACATTCAACCACTGAGCCATGCCGGCCTGGCAGTTTTCTTTTATTATTGAAGAGTAGTATTTGATGTAAACGCAGAATACCATCTATATAGAGTACTCTGAGACCCTAAAAAGTGAAATACAGAAGGGTGACCCAGGCAAGCTTACCAGGTGTCCTATTATCCAGTCAGATTTATTGTGGCTTAGGATTCAAATCTGTTTTTCTTTCTCAAGGGTAGAATGTATCCAACTTTGCAAATTTGTTGATGTTATGGCTGTAAGACTGCATGGTTTCTGTTTATAGATGAAGTGTTTAGGGGACATGAGCCGGGGCAAGCAGCAAGCAGGTCTGTGTCAGCAGCGGATGTTGTTTTATATGGAGTCAACCTAATTCTGCCCTTGATGTCACAAGATCTTTTGAAGGTAATTGAAGAAAAGAAAGTGAATGTGAACATTAAAATGTGTGTGCTCTAAGTTTCAAGATATTTTAGATAAGAATGTGCCTCTGATTTAACTAAGGGATATGAATACCTGTTTGATAAGTACACATGGAAATAAAACATTTGAGTTACTGTTAGTAACATTAACACTCATGTTTATAGCCCAGAACACAGGCCCTCACTCCTGCCCCAGAGTCCTGCATTCAAAATAGGTTACTATAGAAAAAATGGGGCTTTTAGAAACTGCATTCTAATGTTAGCAGTTTTGATTCCCTCATCATTTGTCATTAAGCAATTAAAGTTATGTTAGATGTTCAGGTGTACACATTCTTCTGGTACTTGTTGAACATTATTCTCAGGTTGAGGGATTAAACAGTGGAAGGAATTTATAAGTCCCTCCATGTAGAAATAGGATGGTAAGAAACCAAGACTCATATAGTTTTTAGTTTTGTACCTTTGGACTGTGCGGTACCTTGCTTTTACCACTCAGTTGGGTGTGATGGTAATGAGGCTGCCTTTCTTACCCCTCTTTTCATGAGATGTCATAGGAATCTGAAGCTGAGGACAAGGACATGAATGGAGAGGAAGAGGGAGGTGTGTTTGCCTGTGTACATGTGCATAAACAGTGGGGGCGATAAGTGGGGAGGGAAGAGTATGAGTGTCAGAATGAGAAGGCCATAGATTTCCAGACCATTGCTTCCTATTCTCTCTCTCTCTCCTCCCTCTCTCTCTCTCTCTCTCTCTCTCTCTCTCTCTCTCTCTCTCTCTTTTTAAAAATATGTTTTAGCTGATTTCAGAGAGGAAGAAAGAGGGAGAGAGTTAGAAACATCAATGATGAGAGAGAATCATTGATTGGCTGCCCCCCCTTGAGTACTGAGCCTGCAACCCGAGCATGTGCCCTGACCGGCAATCAAATCATGATCTCCTGGTTTATAGGTCAATGTTCAACCACTGAGCCACACCAACCAGGCATCTTGTATGTGTTTTTTAAAAAATCATTACGCACTAGCCAGGTTGGTTAGAGAGTAGTCTCGATATGCCAAGGTTTCGGGTTCAGTCCCGGTCAGGGCACATAGAAGAATCAACCAGTGAATGCATAAATAATTGGAATAAAAAGTCAATGTTTGTCTCTCTCTCTCTCTCTTTCCCTCCTCCCTCTCCCTTCTTTTCTTGTTCTAAAATCAATTTTAAAAATCATTATACTTACAAGCTTGCCTGTTATTGTTATTGTTTTGGATTAAAGAAAATAAAATTAGATAACATTAAACATCTAAATATTTAATTTTTCTTTTTCAGTTTCCAACACTTTGTAATCAATACTACAAATTAATTACATTTATTTGTGAGATTTTTCCTGAAAAAATACCACAGCTTCCTGAAGACCTTTTTAAAAGTCTGATGTGCTCTCTAGAACTGGGAATGACTTCGTATCCTTTAAATAGGCATTGTTACCACTTATCACGTGGGGAAAAGATTTTACCTAAAGTTTTCAAACTTTTTATTTTGTATTTCAGTTTTATTTCTTAAAAAAGCCACCATCTCTATAACTGCCCTAATTCTGTGTTTATTTTGTTGTTAGTTTATCACATTCTTTTTCTCCTTTCACAGATTCCAGGGACATTTGGCCCCTGCCTCCCAAATAATTTCACATACTGTTGCTGGGTGTCTGATCTTAGTTACCCGATGGTAGAAAATAGCAAGGCTTTTATCAATGTGTGATCAGAAACATGCTGGAAGTCTCCAGTTGCAGACCCCAAACACGTATGGATCACCTCAAAACCTTGGGAGTCTTTTTCCACTTAGCTCAGTAAAGGCACATTGTTCGAGCTATAGCTTACCTGCATTCATTTCTAGAAATGCACTCCATGTGATAATAGCTGTAATTTTTGGTCTTGAATATATCAAGTTTGTCTCTTTGCATTTGCTCTTTGACCTTCATGATCAGAATGAGCTCGGAGGTTTGCCAGCTGTGCCTGGAGGCCCTGACACCATTGGCTGAACAGTGTGCAAAAGCTCAAGATACAGACTCACCACTGTTTCTAGCAACACGGCACTTTCTGAAGGTAAGGTGCTTGGATAGTAGGTTGTGGGGTCACCTGCTTTGATAAGGACTATCAGTACACATAAATCTTCCAAATCAGGAAATGCTTACCTTCTTTAATAGTCACTTTCTATTCACTGTGTTTTCTGGAGATCCTCTTTCTGGACATGTAACTCTCCACTTCTACTTTGTATTCTTAAAAATTGATGTAAATATAATGGGTAGTTGGATAATTTAATTATTATACCACAGGTAGTCACATCCATATCTTATTCTTGGACTTTTAAAAACAACATTTTCTTTAATTTTCAGATATATATAATGAACACATACCACCCTCTCTTTTTTTTGGAGCAGGGAGGAGCTGGAGGACTATGTGATTTTTGTGTTGTGTGTCTTTATTTAGCGGTTTCCTTGTGCACTTTCAGCTGGTTTTTGATATGCTGGTTCTGCAGAAGCACAACACTGAGATGACGACAGCAGCCGGAGAGGCGTTCTACACGTTGGTGTGCCTGCACCAGGTACGGGCCGTAGCTTCTTGGGGCACTGGTCTGTTAGAAGGAGATGATTCAGATCCACGGTGGGTGTTAACCCTCCAGATCTTAGGGGATCTCTGACTCAGATCTGCAGTTCTGTTGCAGTGTAGTCCTGTTTCTTAACCTCATTAGCTCTGGCTTTTTTTAACTGGACAAGCTGTTTGTCAGTTAATAAGCATTTATTATCCCTTCTGCACTGTTATGACCCGTCCTTTGCCTTATCCTTACACAATTGCTAGGAACCAGGAATCAGATATGAGAGGATAATGGATATGTGCTTCTGTCCTTGAGGAACTCAGTTTTGTAAAAAAAACAAGATGAATGAGACGGGGCACCCAGAAGAGACTGCCTTCAGAGAGCCGGGCAACAACAGTATTTATTCCATACTACAATATGGAAAATGTTCTTCCCTTACCTTCACCTCCCTTGCCCTCCCTTCCTTCTTCTTTGAGACTTTAAAGACTGAAGCAGTCACTGATGTGGGGCCAATATAACAGAAGAGGAAAAGTTATGCTGGCTCACCCATCTCCCTTCCCTGTTGTACATGCCCATCAAGTATATGTGAAGAATCAGTTTCCCAAAACCTATCCCCCCATTCCTCACACATGTCCTAGCATGACCAAGTGATGAGAGAGAGAGAGAGAGAGAGAGAGAGAGACATCAATGATGAGAGAGAATCATTGATCAGCTGCCTCCTGCACACCCCACACTGGGGATTGAGCCCGCAACCTGGGCATGTGCCCTGACCGGGAATCGAACTGTGACTTTCTGGTTCATAGGTCAATGCTCAACCACTGACCCAAACCAGCAGGTCACTAAGACTTTTTCAAAAAGTGTGGAGGCCACCCTGGCTGGTGTGGCTCAGTTGGTTGAGCATTGTCCCATGCACTGAAAGGTTGCTGGTTCAATTCCCAGTCAGGGAACATGGGTGATATTTTGCTTTCACATCAATGCTTCTCTCTCCCTCTCCCTTCCTCTCTAAAATCAATAAAAAAATCTTTTTTTAAAAAAGTGTAGAGGCCATGGCATCTGCTATGACTGACCCTCGGGGCTTCATTTATTTTCTCTTTTAGAAATATAGGATTTCAAAGCGATTGTCAAAGTACTTGAAGGCCGCCTTTAGGCAGGCTTCTGTACTGTTTGTGCAGGTGTTCAGAAGTTCACTTCCTGAGATGACGCCCATCCCAGTAACGGGCCTTTCTGACATTTGATTTCCTGTTCTTACTAGGAAAATACATAAGTCATTATATTCTGGTTGCCTTTTTTTGCTGTTGTTAATCTTCACCTGAGAATATTTTTCCATTGATTTAGAGATTGGAAGGTAAGGGGAGTGAGAAAGAGACACATTGATGTGAGAGAGACTCATCGATCTGTTGCCTCCTGCATGCACCCCGATTGGGGCCAGGTATCAAGCCTGCAACTGAGGTAGGTGCCCTTGACTGGAATCAAACCTTCAGTTCGAGGGCCAACACTCTATCCACTGAGCCAAACTGGCTAGGGCTCTGGTTGCCTTTTTAAAAACATATTCATACAGCCCTAACTGGTTTGGCTCAGTGGATAGAGCGTCAGCCTGCGGACTGAAGGGTCCCGTGTTCGGTTCTGGTCAAGGGCATGTACCTTGGTTGCGGGCACATTCCCAGTAGGGGGTGTGCAGGAGGCAGCTGATCGATGTTTCTAACTCTATCCCTCTCCCTTCCTCTCTGTAAAAAATCAATAAAATATATTTAAAAAACAAAACAAAAACATATTCATACATGTAGAACAGAGAACAGGAGCTTGGGATTGGTGAGGATGATGTCCTACTGTTTTGGCTCAGTGACACAGCCAGTACACATTAGCAGGGACATGGTTTGAGTTTATTCTTGTTCCCCCGTGAACAGGCCTGTCTCTTGGAGGGGGCAGTGAAGGCAGCCATTCTGGCTCCATGCCTGGGTGTGGTAGGGTGCTGTCCCCTGCTCTTCTTTTCCAATTGTAACTAACATGGTTTTACCATTTTGGTCCATCATGATATGCCAGGAAGCTAATGAAAAATAGTGGCAGACCAGCTTTCTTCAAGAAAGCTTATTGCAGTGGCCGGGTGGCTCAGTTGTTTGGAGCATCATCCGGTACACCAGAAAGGATTGCGGGTTTATTTCGTGGTCAGGGCATATACCCAGGTTTTGGGTTCGATCCCTGGTCGGGTCGCAGAAAGGAGGCAACCAGTCGATGTTTCTCTCTCACATTGATGTTTTTCTCTTTTTTTCTCCCTTCCTCTCTCTGAAAACATATCCTCGGGTGAGGATTTTAAAAAGAGAGAGTTTATTTTAGAAAGCTGCCCTGCTTTCATTTCCTTGAATGCCTCACCCACACCTCTGTGTAAGGCAGTGGCTCTCAACCTTCCTAATACCATGACCCTTTAATACAGTTCCTCATGTTGTGGCGACCCCCAACCATAAAATTATTTTCGTTGCTACTTCATAACTGTAATTTTGCTACTATTATGAATCGTAATGTAAATATCTGATATGCAGGATGTATTTTCATTGTTACAAATTGAACATAATTAAAGCATAGTGATTAATCACAAAAACAATATGTAATTATATATGTGTTTTCTGATGGTCTTAGGCGACCCCTGTGAAAGGGTCGTTCGACCCCCAAAGGGGTCGCGACCCACAGGTTGAGAACCGCTGGTATAAGGCTATATTATGAAGGGCACTAACAATATAAAAGATACATGCATCATATCCCTGTATTTCTTAAGCTCCTCCTGTCCTTTTTTCCGGAGCCGCTGAGCCACAATGCTGGTTTGAGCTGCATGTGCATAGTCATTCAGATTTTCTACTTCCACTTTGAGAAAGGACCGAAATACCCTTCACCCACTCTGCCACCTCTCACCTGCATTTGTGTGACCCGCTCTCTGCAGAACTGCGTGGACGTAGTGTCTGTAGAAACCTCTCGGAAAATGTCCAAAGGTTGCAGCTTAGGTTATATAGAAAATGCAAAACAAACATGAATAATGTGCTTTGAAAACACAAAGAGGCAACACAACGAAATTGGTAATACATTGCTTCTGGAGCCAAACAGCCTGGATTCTTGCTCAGAGGCAGTATGATTTTGGATGTATTAGTTAATCTCACTGTTATATAAACTTCCTATAAAACAGGTATATAAACAGTACTTGCCCCGTAGGGTTGTTAATAGTAGGTGAATTAGCAATGGCAAAGGCTGGGATGGAAACTAGATTATGTGCTAACTGAAAAAGAGCTGGCAGACCCTGCCTCTTAGAATCCCACCATCCAGTAACTGATATGACCTACTTGTCTGATGATTGAGGAAGATGTGTTTTTATATGCACTTTATCTCTTCAATAGGCCGAGTACTCTGAATTGGTTGAAACATTGCTGTCAAGTCAACAAGACCCAGTTATTTACCAGAGATTAGCAGATGCCTTCAACAAGCTCACTGCAAGCAGCACCCCTCCTACGCTGGATCGGAAACAAAAGATGGCTTTTCTAAAGAGTTTGGAAGAATTTATGGCCAATGTTGGTGGTCTCCTTTGTGTAAAATAAAGAACAAAACTCTATGCTTAATTTAGATCCTTTCTGCAAAGTGCACTGAATTGCTAAAAGTTGACTTGAGTCTCATCCTGTCCTTCAGTTTCTTGGCCATTGGGGTTTTGGAGAGCTTGACATGTAACGAATGCAGTTGAGACAGGAGAGCTCAGCCTCAAATCAGCGTCTACTATTAGGTGTTACCACAGTTGGTCATAAGTATTCTGTAGGTTTTGAATGGTGATTTAACATTTTCAAAAGGAAATATATATGTGCAAATAGATAAGGGCACCATGAAGTCATGTTCAGTGCCTTTTCCCTCTTTGTCAAACGTTAGGTGACTAGCCAAAGTTTAAAATTTTCGTTGTGAAATATTAGGTGGCTATGTTCGGTGATGTTTCTCAAACGTTGTCCATGGACCATCTGCAGCGCTGAGGACCTGGACCCAACTGAAGGCCATCATTGTCAGAATTTCTGTTTGTGGGCTCTGGGTTTTTTCATTTTAATAAACTCCTCCCCTCTGTCACCCCAAAAGTTTTGAATCAATGCGAAAATTCTGAATGGGTTTTGTCCTGTGGTGCTTTCTTCCCTGTGATTCAGTTTGAGTCTGGCAGGAGGAGAAGGCACTGCCGGTGCTCACTGGCCTGTAACGGGCTGGTGAGCAGGTTTTGTGGAGTACAGGCCTCTAGTCACACTCTGACACCTGAACTTAAGGAGGAAAATGCATGTATATTTTTGTTCCATAAAATGAACTTTAGGAACTGTAGCCATTCCATTGCCTTAATTTTAAGAAAAAAAGGACAAAAAAACCCAACAGACTTGTTTTAGTAAGAAATGCAGTTTTGATGCTTCAGAGTTGGTTAGGATGTTAGCTACTCTGAACTTGGTGCCCTTTTGGTGGTGTATTCATGTGGGTTTGTGAGTGAAACAAAGGCTCATCCTTATGTAGTCTAACTCTTCGAGTATATTTCTGTCCAGCTTTATATCCAATGCTACAGTATTCGGAGGATGGGAGTGACTGATTCCTGCAGATTTTAGATATTGGGGCATTAGGAGAAATAATTATGCTGGAATGGGTATTTTCTCATTTCATAGGAGTCTTGTAAATTTAAGAGAAAATTTTGTATTGCTGCCATACTTCCCTTAAATTATGGAAACCACAGGCATATGAAACTGCCCACTGCCTTGTCCTTGTCACAGGGCACAGGGACATTGCTTCAAAGGTTGGGTGTCCTGCTATGCTCTTGATACCTCTATGCTAAACTGTCCATGGAATGTGGTGGGATTGCATTGAGCACATGCACCTTCACAGTGATGCTTTGTGAAACTGTGTAGCTGCTATTAACAGTTACAGTTACCAAAACAGGAGCATCTAAGTTATATCCAGCTTGGCATGCTACCTGAGGCATGTACCAATACAGAGCCTTGAGCCAGAACTTCAAGGACCATTTCTCTTAGTTGTCACCATCTAGTAACAGCAGAGGGGAAGCAAAGCATCTTAAAAATAGCTAGGAAAAAATTATGTCACTGTTTATGAAATATGCATATTGTATTTTTTAAAATACTTTGAACCATGTGTTCATTTTTAGATTTCTTCTTTATTTCCCCTTAATGAACATGAAGTCATCTGCACCAGGAACCACTGTTTTGCATTGTTCTTGATGTGTGGTCTCCCAGCTCCGCACACCTGCTCAGTGGTTGTAAGCCTTGCCTGTCTGTGTGTGATGAGTGTAGTACCTTTGCCAGAGGGTACTGGGACAGGCAACTGACTAGATAGGTCCACTGGCTTTGACAAAACTATAATCAAGTTTTTAAAAATAAAGATGAAAAAAAATAAAGGTGAGTAGAAAAGGGATGCCTTGGGAAATAAAAAGGCATCTGTATTTAATAACTATTATCTAGATGGAAATGTATGTGCTTAATTATCCTAGATGCTGTCAATAATATTGCAGTGTAATTAGACGACTTTTAAGGAAAACAATATGTACTTGGGATTGGACCAAATAAGCCTTAAGATATCACCAGAATGTGATTAGTGGCAAACAGGAAAAAAGAGACAACACCATTTTTTAGGTAATGGGGATGCCACTTAACTGTAATAGCTGGACACTTTTCTGGTGTTTGTGTATGTGTTTTTCTGATTGGTATTTGCTTAATTTGGGTCATTATCTTTTTTTTTAACTTTATTTTTATTGTTGTCACTATTACAGATGTCCCCATTCAACCCCCTCCTTTGCACACCTCTACCCAGCCCCTGTGCCCCCTTTCCTCTGATTATCACACCGTTGTCTATGTTAATGGGTTATGCATATATGTTTTTTGGCTAATCCCTTTACTTTCTTTCATCCAGTCCTCCCATTCTCCCTCCCCTCTGAGAGCTGTCAGTCTATTCCATACATCTATTCTGGTTCTATTTTGTTTATTAGTTCATTTTGTTCATTGGGTTCCACATATAAGTGAGATCATGTGGTACTTGTCTTTCTCTGACCAGCATATTTCACTTAGCATATTAACCTCCAGATCCATCCATGTTGTCTCAAAAGGTCACATTTTCTTCTTTTTTTAAGCCTTCTTTATGGCTACGTAGTATTCTATTATGTAAATGTACCAGTTCTTTTTCAGATGTTTATATATACATATTTTAGTTTGAGTATTCTTTCTATTTTGTCCAGTTTTGTCTGTAGCTATGCTTATTGACTTTTCATTTTTGGAGGTTTTGTTTTAATGCTCTTTGCCCTGTGGGGGACAAGAACACTGACTTAATTTTAGTAAATTAATTTTTATTATTAAAACTGACTGTTGTCCAATATGAACATTATTTGTGCTCCCTTTTTTATATATGTTAAAGGGACATTGTCAAATATTTATTTAGAATTTTGTCTTATATGAAATTTCTGGTCATATATAGTAACCTTTAATGTCTAGTTTTCAGTTCATTCTTTATTTGATTTTATTTTCCTGGGCCAATTTGTTTCCCAGGGCACAATCTCTATGGACTTGTACTTTCACAATTGGTATTCGTGTAACAGCACTTGTCACTATACTCTTGTAGCCCTGTCGCAAGGATTGCTTGCTTGCTTGTTTGTTTGTTTTATGGTTTTTCTGGAACAGTACTTCAGTGTCCTCTTCACAGTTATTTGGGTCTTTATTACTTGCTGTCTCTCAATCTGTTGGAAGACAATGGCATGTTAACAACACTGCATTGAGTTTTGTCTGGTAGAAAGTGTGACATTTTATGTAAAAAAAACAACACACCTTTGCAATCTTTTTCAAACTAATTTTAAGAACTTAGTCTTACTTCGTTGTAAGCCATTATTACATTATTCTGTTAAAATGAGATGGTTACTACTCTCACAATTTTCATTTCAAAACTGAGCATCTCTCTATGATACCTTCCCCTAGTAACACTCCTTACTATCCTTTTTTGTTGCTGTTAATCTTCACCGAAGGATATTTTTTTTCATTGCTTTTTTTGAGAGTGGAAGAGTGGGAGCCGGGGGAGAGAAACATCGATGTGAGAGAGACACACTGATTGGTTGCCTCCCACATGTGCTCCTACCGTGGTGGGGATTGAACCTGCAGCCCAGGCACATGCCCTTGACCCTGAATCCAACTGAGACCCTTCGGGGTTCAGGCTGATGCTTTGACCACCGAGCCACACCAGACAGGGCTCTCCTTACTATCTTTGATTGACCTTTCTCTTTTACAAAAAAATAACCAGTCTATATTTGTAATGTTACATTTCCCATTTCTGTTGATACTTGTATGAACCCCTCAAGTATTGAAGGGAACTAGCTGTTGATTTCAAGTCTGAGTATCCTAGTAGACCATGTCAATTGAACCCTTAAAATACTATTTTTTCTATTACAGTTTTACTTGTTTCTGTTTGCCACCTCTGTCTTTAGAGGTGGTTGTCATTAGACCTTACTAAGTTAGCTGTCTCTGATGGATAGTTATCGTTATTGGTTCCTGAATGAAATATTAACTATTTAGGCAGCAGGAGCCTCAATACTTCTTAGGGTTTTTTTCTTAACTAGAGAATAAAGAATTGATTTGGATATGAGTTTTTAATATAACTTCCTATAAATTCTTCTAAAAAACAACAGAGCTGATTTGAGGATATAATGTTTTAAATTATTCTAAAATATAAGTGGATATCCTCTGACTTGGTAATAACTATGTTCTGAAAACACTGATTTTCTAAAATAAAAAGTCTAAATTAGGTTTATTTTCTGAACTCAAATTGATATGAAGTGCTGTGATTCAAGTTGAACTTTAAACAGTTTAATTTACATGTAGTTCTGGTCGATTATAATAGAGACTCATGACATATTTAGCCAAAGCATATATTTGGTTCAGGTAAAGACACAAAGTTAATAATGAGCATCCATTCTGCTCTAGAGGACTGGTGGAGCGATCTGTTTCTGACCTTTAGCTCCCTATCTAAGTCTGAAGACTGAGCTACATGCACACGTGTTTGTCCGCCTCACCTCCTGGGGTTTGCTCTTCACCTATTCCTAGGCCTTCCTAGCAGTGGAGAGGTTTTCTCCTTTTCAGTACGCTTAGGTCTCAGCTGTTAGGAGCTGTAGGTATGTACTATTAGCTAACTTTATTAGCCTGAAATTAAATACTGCACCTGTACTATGTATCTAACATGGACCTGACCTCAAGAGTGTTCTGAGCCTAGGCTTCATGGTGTGTCATCTACCACATAAAATTATGACAGATTGCAAATACTGGTGTTGCGATTCGGCTCTCTGAACAAAGGGTCTCCGTGCAGTGAGTGTGTGGTTTAATCGTCACAAAGTGTTAGGATTGTTACCATTCAGCATGTGTAAAATTTTTTAAATTTATAAATATTAAACATTTAAACTTATGCTAAGACTTTTCAGTTTTTTTTGAGAGACGCAGGGACAAGTATATGGCTTAAATATTTACTTCTATTAACATTACTAATGAAGGTATAAGGTATAAAGTTGCATTTCATTTTTTCAAAAGATGCTATAATACGATTTTAGGAAATAAATCAGGGCTATGTATTGAGCCAGTTAAAGGCTGAATATCAAATTGATAAAATTTTATTTGTATTTTTAAATCTATAAATGGGAGTTATTATGTGTCTTTTAACTAAATATTTTTATTACATTTTTGTTTTGACTGTGTGTGATTTGTTCGTGGGTATTTAGACTTTTATGAAACTGATTGAAATGGTGCTTTCATTTACCATCATAGAGTGACTGACACTGGGGACATTATACAGTCATAATTTAAAATAAAAAAATGATATATCTGTATAGATAAGATTTGCATTACCTTCTGTGAGAACACCCAGTCCTGATAGAATATTCGGAAAGAAAACGTTTTGTTTACATTCTATAATATTCAATGTATTTATTTTTATTTCAGCTTAGTCTTAGAAACAATGTCAGAGTTATCAATTAAGTCATTGGAGTTGGGGCGTATTTGCAGTAAATATTTTTAGTGGTTTGGATCATTCTTTTTATGGCCTTTCAGGGAAAGTGGAAAATTGCCATTCTGCTGTGTCAGACAGACTTTCACTCTGCCTAATCTTAAATCTTGTAAATATATGCACTGAAAAGTTAATTTTTTTTAAAAATCCTCACCCCAGGATATTTTTTTCTATTGACTTTCAGACAGAGTGAAGGGAGGTAGAAGGAAAGAGGGGTGAGGGAGGAGAGGGAGAGAAACATTGATGTGTGTGTGTGTGTGTGAGAGAGAGAGAGAGAGAAGGAGAGAGAGAGAGAGACAGACAGACAGACAGACAGACAGACAGACAGACATCGATTGGTTGTCTACCATAAGCACTCTGAGTGGGGCAGGGATCGAACCTGCAACCAAGGTACTTGTCCTATGACCAAGAACCAAACTGAAGACCCTTCATTCAGTCTGTGGGCTGATACTCTAACCACTGAGTTAAATAGGGTGAAAAGTTAATTTTTTTAAAAAGAAAATGTGTTTTAAAAATATTTTTTAAACTTGATTTTGCTTTGAATATTAATTGATTCATAATGCTATTTCTTAGGTTGTATTGAGATTTGATTTTACTCCAAGAGTGGATGTAGAAAATTTAGGTTTAAGAGGACTAAGCAGAGTTGTATTGAATTTCGTTTTCCCTCTTTAATTATTAAGGGCAGGACCTGGAACACAGGCTAATAGTTACCTGGTATTTGCGAGCCATAGATGATTTTAAAGGTTCCAAATATAAAAATTTGGTATTGTCTTTTAAAAGACATCTTTAAAGTAATTGTGCTCTCTAAAAATACAGTTGGTTTATATTGACTGGCTTACAAATGATGCCTTGGTGTGTTGATTATGCATCATTTGTTTATTTTGTAAATATTGGATCGTAGATTGGGTCAATGTAAATTCTTTGTAATCTCAAATGGTTGTTCAGTTTTACTTTCTTTTAAAACTAAGTGGAAGTAAAGGGCGTATTTGAAATTTACGAGAAAACCTGCTGGGACATTCCATACAGCCTTAATGACAATGTACTGTCTAACTTCTAGCACATAAATCATTTCCCTATTGAATTCTTTTCATGTAAGTTATTCTCCCAAAGGAAAAATTTTAAACACGCTGAGAAAACATAATAGTAGATACTCAATAAATTCTGTTATATTTAAAAATTCTAAGAACAGTTTGTTCCATTAGATAAGTGTGTCTTTACACAAAGTTTAATAACTGATAGTCATTAATTTTTAAATACTGTGATGTCTTCACATACAATATGACTGTATCTCCCCTGCCACAGCCACTATGGTGGTATTTTGAGAGAGTTCGCTGTATTTTCTTTTTTAAACAAGAAAATTGATCTACTTAAGGGTATTTCTGCTGAATATGCTCATATCAATCCTACAACAACTACAAAAACCCTAACAGTGATTTCCAAAGGCAGTTTCATGTATCACTATAAGTCAAATAAATTAGGGAAGTAAAACAAGTTTATATCTTGTGTGAAGTTAAGAGCTTTACTACACTGCCCTAGAAGGTCTCAATCAGATTTCCTCAGTTGATGTCTTCTCCAAACATCAGTGGGTCTAGAATATGGGAACACCCTTTGCAACTTAGGTTAATTTGAGTAATTTGGTGACAAAACACTTGAAGAATGGAAGAAAAACACATGAATCTGTCCTTGTAATTATAGGTAATTAGTACTTTTTAAAATTAAATTGATTGGAGTGACATTGGTCAACATAAATATACAGGTTTCAGGTGTGGGTTTCTGTTTTTTAAAAATGAAAATTGAGTCTGGCTTCATCTTAGATCTTTACAGAGTAATCTTCATTTCTTTTATGCACCTTTTCTGAAGAGTAGCATGAACAGAAATCACTCATAAATACACAAACAGAATTCCTGAATCAAAACAGATCTGAAAGCATCTTTTCAAGTCCAGCTTAACTTAAGCGATTTTCCCTTTACTTCAATGAGAATCAAATTGCCTTTGATATTTTAAATTTTTTATGATTTGTAAGAACCATTAAATTACAGTGCAAATGTTTCACCAGGAAAATTCATCTTCATGTGTTACTGTGAACAGGCTGGCTAAGTAATCAGCACTGGTGGTGGAGGTATAATTGAACTTCTTGACTTCCTGGTCACTTTAATGATAAAAAGCCTCATAAAACACACTACATGAAGGTAACTATTGCATCTCATATGCTATGAAAACAATTGAAACTTAAAGTTTAAAATCTATTTCAAACCAAAAATTGCTTTAACATGGTTTTTAAATTATAGGCCAAGACAGTCTCCAATGTATGGAACGCTACACCTCTTAAAAATATATATACTGCCATAAAGTTGGTTCTTGGTTCATGTTACTGATTTTTGGTTTGTTCTATGTATTTTCTTTCCTGCTCTTTTGCTAAGTTACACCTGATTTTGAAACACTTGGTGTAACTGACTTGTCATCACTTAAAAGCCATCGAAGTCAAAAGTAGAGCATGGAGCTCTAGCTGGTTTGGCTCAGTGGATAGAGCGTCGGCCTGCAGACTGAAGGGTCCCAGGTTTGATTCTGGCCAAGGGCACATGCCTGGGTTGTGGACTCGATGCCCAGATGCCCAGTAGGAGGTATGCAGGAGGCAGCCGATCAATGATTTTCTCATCATTGATGTTTCTATCTATCCCTCTCCCTTCCTCTCTGAAATCAATTTAAAAATATTTTTTTAAAAAGTAAAGCATAGGTTGCCATAGACCAGGAAATGGTATTTATAATTGAAATTATGGTACTTCCCAAGTTGTAAACCGGTTTTATATACTGTTATGTGACAGCTGAGTCTTTTATTTATATCCTCAACTTATGCCAGAAACGACTTAAGGTGATTCTGCAGAATATATAAAACAGCACGATAATAAAGTTGGTTAAAAAAAATGAAGGAAAAGTAGGTAGGAACATAATACAGGTTGAATGCCTTCTTAAATGGAAAATAAGTCACTTATGATTTGATGCTGCCAGGTTTAACAAGTGCTTTGCTGGAGGTTCTTATACTGAAGGAATGCCCTCAATAAGGAAGGTTCTTCTGAGAGGTTCGCGGCAAGTCTCCCACATATAGAATTATGTCCATAGAGAAATGTTACTGCCTGATAGATTACTCGCCAAATCAGTAGCTAACCTTATTTCAGCGTGAAAACAGCTTCTATCTCGTTTGGTCACTGACTGGACGTTGCTTTCGCTGTCACCCCCAGTGGAAAATGCGCATGGCTGGACCTAGTAACCACGTTGAGTTTGGGAAGGAAATTGATTACAGTGGAGACTCTAAAAAAGTTTTTCTAATCCTATCAACATTATAAGGCCTCTCACGTCTTGATTTTTCTATTAGAAGATTGAGTAGACAGACCAACGAAGCCCTCCCTGATAGATGTTTGTGAAATGTACATCTCCCCAAGAACAAATAGGTTCCCTGTATTTCGCTTGAAAAACCTTAAGTTTTCATTGGATTGCTACCTTTCGTGGAGGGAACAGAGCTCCGCCAGAGTCAGCGCCTGCGCACTGCTAGCGCCGGAACTGACGCGCTCCCTCGGGCCAGGGGGTGTGCGCAGGCGCGAGTGCCGCTCGGCTGGCCCCGCCCACTCCTCCCCTTACGCCTCTGTGTTACTGTGCGCGCGTGGCGGTGAGTGGACTCTCCCGGTTTCCGGGTGCGGTTTGGGCGGCTGGGCAGTTAGTGGACGGCTACCTGCGAAGTCTGTGCCGTAGAGGGTTGTGCGGGCCGGAGGGGACGGGAGGGGACGGGAGGGGACGGGAGGCGTGGGGAAGTTGAGCAGCGATGACGGGAGGTCGGTAGACTCCGTGGTTACACGGAGTGCAGAGGACAGGACAGGACTGGACGTTCATGATCATATCTCACAGGACACAAGTTGTACCTATATCTTAGTTTAAAATACGTGAGTACAGCTTTAGGCGGTGGGCAAATCCCGTAACGAAGACGGGAAGGAAGTGAACAGCGGGTACTTCGTAGGGCTAGTTGGAGGAGGGTTCTCCGTAGGTGACCAGAAATCTGGGGAAGAATCCGAGTTAATGCTCTTTCCTCTGCACCCACCGCCTTCCCAGAGTCATTTGCAGAGAAGGTGAAGATTTTTGTTGTTGTTGATCCTCACCAGAGGATATTTTTTTCCATTGATTTTAGAGAGTGGAAGGGAGGGAGGAGAGAGAGTGAGAGATTGAGAGAAAAAGAAACATTGATATGAGAGAAACACATCCATTGATGCCTACTGGAGGGCGGATTCAACCTGCAACCCAGGTACCTGCCCTTGATCTGAGATTGAACCCACGATCCTTTGGTCTGTGGTGACGCTCAAACCAATGAACCAAACCAGCCAGGGTGGGAGCCTGTACAGTTATGCAGTGGGGGATGGGAGAGTGGGCCTTGCTTTAAGCAAAGATCATATATGAAAATTGACGAATTTTACACATTTCTTTGTAGTCAGATGCTGTGTAAAGAAATAGAAAGTTATTATACAGCCCATTAGGATCCTCTTCACCCCTGTTTAGGCTGTACATGATTGTGCCCATTACTTTACTGTGCTGTTCCATCATCTTCATGCTCTTCCTTCTGCAATCCTCTCCCTCAAGGCGAAAGTAAACCCCCTGTGGCCTCACTTTTATCCTCCATCCACACATGCTCTTTACTCTGATCCATGGCTCTAAATGCAGACTCACCACATCATCATAGTAGAGCAGTTTTTTAACGCCCTAGCACTGTTGACATTTCTGGTCACATAGTTCTTTTTTGTGAAGGGTTGTCCTTTCAATTGTATGGAGTTGACCAGCTTTCCTGACCTCTACCCAGTAGATGCCAGGAGGACCCTCCCTAGTTATGATAACCAAAAAATATTTCCAGGCTTTGCCAAATATTTTCCTGAGGGACAAATCTTGCCTGATTCTTCGGTGAGTGCCACATAAGGCTCACTGTCAGTTTAATAACATAACACAGCACTTTTCAACTCTTGTACCTGAAAATCTCTTTCACAGAAGTTTCACAAATTCACTTAGAATTTTACTACTGCTAAAGATGTGATAAAGTAGTGACAAGTAAAAAAATTAGCACATTAACACTAAACTTCATTTAATTTAAACTTTAGTGATGTGTATCACATCAGCATTTCAATTTTCCCCACTTAACTAGTGATATACTCTTTAAAAAAAAAAATTAAAACCTGTATTGTTGAGAGTATTACAGATGTCCCTCTTTTTTCCCCCTCCACCCAGTTCCTACCCTGCCCCACCCCAGGCCTTTACCACCCTATTGTCTATATCCATAGGTAAGATCTTTGGTTTTTTTCTCTTCCTGCCCTCCCTCCCCCCTTCCCTCAGATTCGCCAGTATTTTCCATGTTTCCATGCCTCTGATTCTATTTTATTCACCAGTTTATTTTGTTCATTGGATTTCTTGTTAGATTATTTTGATTAATAGATTCAATTGTTGACAGATATGTATTGCCATTTTATTCTTCAAGTTTTTTACCTTTTTCTTCTTCTTTTCCTCTTCCTCCTCTTAAAGAATACCTTTCAACATTTCATGTAATGCTGGTTTGGTGGTGATGAACTCCTTCAGCTTTTTCTTGTCTCTTATTTGACCTTCCATTCCAAATGATAGCTTTTCTGGGTAGAGTAATCTTGGTTGTAGGTCCTTGGTATTCATCACTTTGAATATTTCTTGCCATTCCCTTCTGGCTTGCAAAGTTTCTGTTGAGAAATCAGCTGACAGTCATATGTAGGTAACTAACTGCTTTTCTCTTGTTGCTTTTAAGATTCTTTCTTTGTCTTTAACCCTTGGCATTTTAATTATGATGTGTCTTGGTGTGGGCCTCTTTGGGTTCATCTTGGTTGGGACTCTCTGTGCTTCTTGGACTTGTAAGTCTATTTCTTTGACCAGGTAAGGGAAGTTTTCTGTCATTATTTCTTCAAATAGGTTTTTAGTATCTTGCTCTCTCTCTCTTCTCCTTCTAGCACCCAATAATGCAAATGTTGGTTGCTTGAAGTTGTCCCCGAGGCTCCATACACTATCTTCATATTTTTGGATCCTTCTTTCTTTTTGCTGTTCTGATTGGGTGTTTTTTGCTTCCTCATATTCCAAGTTGTTGACTTCATTCTCAGAATCCTTTACTGTTGAATCCCTGTAAATTCTTCTTTATTTCAGTTATTGTATGCTTAATATCTGATTGGTTCTTTTTCATGTCTTTGAAATTCTCACCAAGAACCTTGAAAGTCTCAGGAAGTCCCTTGAAGCTCTCATGAGGATCCTTGAGTAACCTTATGTTATAACCATGGTGTTGAACTCTGTATCCAGTAGTTTGCTTTCTTCCATTTCTTTCATTTATGACGTGTTTCTTTGTCTCTGCATTTTGGTGGATTCCTTTTGCTTGTTTCTATGTATTAAGTAGAGCTGCTGTGTCTTCTGGAATTGGTAGAGTGGCTTTGTGTAATAGGTGTCCTGTAGGACCTAGTGGCTCAGTCTCCCCAGGCACCTAAGCTGGGCACTGTAGGTGTGCCTCTGTGTGCACGGTCTTGTAGTTGAGCCTTGATGGCTATTGGTGTCGGTGGGATGAATTGACCTCTAGGCCAATTGGCTGTGAGGACCATCTGCGACTACAGTGGGAGAGCTGCTATTAGGAAAAACTGCTATGGAGCAGGACTTGCTTCAATGGGGCTTTGGTGCTCACTGAGTCTGCCCCTTGAGTGTGTCACTGTGGATGTGTAGAGTTGTAATCTGGTATGGTCTGAAGTTGTCTACCAGGTGCACTAGCTCTAGGGCCTCCAGGGAGGTGCAAAGTCAGCCACTGCCTGGGGCCACCCAGCAGGAGCTACAGAGAGATCTGCAGATGGCTACTACTTGTATTGGGCTTGGATGTGCCCAGGTGAAGCCCAACTGTGAAGCAAGGTGGGCTGGTGCTACTGCCAGTTTTGGGGCTTTTATTGATAGGTTTGGGGCATGCTGACAGCTGTAGTTTGTAGTTAAAGATTTTAGAGTCTGAAGCCTGAGCCAGCATAGGCCATTCATATGGAAAAACTGCTGCAAACAGCTTGGGTAGGGCTGCAAAGTGGATGGCTTGGGGTCTCAGGGAATCACCAGGGCAAAGAGTGTGAGCCAGGTTGATGGAGACTCAGATATGGCCCCTGCCAGTCAGCTCTGCAACAGGGAAGCTCCCAGCACAGGAACAATGATCCCCGGGAGGACCCCTGTCTGGGAGAAAGCCACTTCCAAGTTCTTGCTTTGAAGACAGATAATCCAGTTCCCCTGCGTATGTGTCTGGGTTCCCCAAAGCTGTCTGGTGCTGGAACTCAGAGGGGTCGAGTCTGAGTAAGTTTGTGTGCTGGCCCTTTAAAAGGAACTCCTGGTCTCCAGCAGCCTCCAAGTCACTCAGCCACAATCCCCACTGGTTTTTACAGCCTGAAGTTTCGGAGACTTCTCTTCCCAGCTCTGGAACCCTGGGCTGAGGGGATGGTGTGGGTCTGGGACCCCTTACTCCTCCTGGGCATCCTCCACAGAGATGATCTCCCTCCCTTCCGTGCCTCCACCCCTTCTGTCTCAGTGTACTTTCTACTTTACTTCTCTATTTGTAGAACTTCCATTCAGCCAGCTTTCAGGCCGTTCTGAATGATGGTGGTTCTGTAATTTAGTTGTACTTTTGATGTGGTTGTGGGAGGTAGCACATACTGGCATTTACCTACACCACCATCTTGGTTCTCCTAGTGATGCAGTCTTGAACTCAATTCAGTGATGTAGGAAACAGACTATGATTGCTAATGTTGCAGCCCCTATTCTCCAGATGTTCTTCCATTGATCTTATTATCTAGCATATATTTCTATTTTTTATGGTCTTTTAGTGTCTCACTAGAATGTGCGTTCTAAGAGATAGGGACTTTGATTCCCATCACCGAGACAGTGCTTAATACAAAGTAGTGCCTCAGGGAACGATTATTAAATGAATGGATTTGATCAGCTTTAAAATAAACTTTATTTCAATTATTTTATATATTTTTATTGATTTCAGAGAGGAAGGGAGAAAGAGGGACAGATTGAAACATCAGTGATGAGAGAGAATCATTTGATCAGCATTAAATCATGCTGCATGGTCCCTACTGAGGATTGAGGCTGCAACCCTGGCATGTGCCTTGACTGGACATTGAACTGTGACCTCCTGGTTCATAGGTCGATGCTCAGCTACTGAGCCACTCTGGCTGGGCTAAACTTTTTTTTTAAATCTTCCCTGAGGATATGTTTTTCATTGATTCTAGAGAGAGAGACAGAGAGAGAAACATTGATGTGAGAGAGAAACATTGATCTCTTGCCCCCTACCCCCATTTCTCAACTGGGTATGGAGCCTGCAACCTGGGCATGTGCCCTGACCAGGAATCGAACTGGCAACATTTCAGTGTATGGGGCGACTCTCAACCAACTGAGCCACACCAGGAATAGCTAAATTTAATTATTTTTACAACCATGAAAGACAGTTTTCTTAAACTGTTCTTTAGAATGGTTTGTTTTGTACTTAAAGTCACCTGGTGTTTTGTTTGTTTGTTTGTTAAATATATTTTTATTGATTTCAAGAGGAAGGGAGAGGGAGAGATAGAAACATCAATAATGAGAGAAAATCATTAATTGGCTGCCTCCTGCATGCCCCACACAGGATCAAACCTGCAACCCAGGCATGTGCCCTGACCGGAAATCTAACAGTGACCTCCTGGTTCATAGGTTGATGCTCAACCAGAGCCACACCGGCTGGGCCATTTCTCATTTTAAATGGCTACTTTGCATCTTTTGGATACTCCTAGGCCTGGGGAATTTCTCCTATTAGAGCAGCCGTGGGCAAACTACGGCCCGCAGGCCGGATCCGCCCGTTTGAAATGAATAAAACTAAAAAAAAAAAAAGACCGTACCCTTTTATGTAATGTTTACTTTGAATTTATATTAGTTCACACAAACACTCCATCCATGCTTTTGTTCCGGCCCTCCGGTCCAGTTTAAGAACCCATTGTGGCCCTGGAGTCAAAAAGTTTGCCCACCCCTATATTAGAGTCTTGATTTTCCTGTTGCCTTTGGTGGCTTCTGCCTGAGGCCAAGATTGGATATACCTACAAAGGTCTTGGAATAGGAAGGGAGCAACATGACAAATATCTTGAATAATTTTTGCTGTCAAAACATCACTTGCTATAACACTTATTTTTTTTGAATCTTTTTAAGTATATTTGTACTGATTTCAGAGAGGAAGGGAGATGGAATGAGAGATAGAAACATCAATGATGTGAGAGAATCATTGATTGGCTGCCTCCTGCATGCTCCCTACCGGGGATTGATCTCACAACCAGGGCATGTGCCCTTGACCGGAATTGAACCTAGGACCCTTCAGTCCGCAGGCTGAAACTCTATCCATTGAGCCAAACCCACTAGGGCACTTGCTGTAAAATTTAGAAAAAATAGGGTGCTGTTTTTGTGCTCAGAATAACTTTCTATATAATAAAAGGCTAATATGCAAATTGTCCCCTTGACTGGTAGTTCCACCAGGAGGCGGGGCCGGCCAGCCAACCACCTGTGGCCCCCCCAGCTGGCCCCGCCCCTGATCGGCCACCCCCACCTCGATTGGGGGCGGGACTGCCCGGCCAACCTCCCACATCCCCTCCTCCGGGCTGGCCTGGCCCAATCAACCCCGATTGGGGAGGGCCAGCTGGACCCCACCCATGCACAAATTCATGCACCAGGCCTCTAGTGATTTATAAATGTGGTTGGTTCCTGTATAATAAGGAATTTGACCCCAATAGAGGTAAACAAACACTTTCCCAAGTGATAGGAATGTTTGTTATTCATGGAGGGCCCTAGGCCATATCAGCCTAACCTGGGGACAGGAGCTAGGGACTGACTTCAACCAGGTGGACAGTAATACAGCCATGAAGCCTCAATACAAATTGGACACCGACACTCACACATGGGTGCTGGGATTGTAGTGCCTCCTGTGAGTAGATAATTAAGGGTACAAATTGACTGGCTCTAATTTGTACCCTTTCCCTGTAATAACTGAGTATAATTGCCCTTAGAGAGTTCTGTGAGGCTTTCTAGCAAATTACTGAACATAAGGATGGTTTGGGAAGCCCCTGCACTTGCAGTTGTTGTCAGGGGTTTTGGGCAGACATGATTGCCTTCATGACTATGCCTTAATTTGGCAGCTTTCTGGGTGGTATCCCAAGAAGTAATTGTGCCTGGTCATCAGTTTCTACAAAAACACCGAACTTTTCTCCCTCTCTGTGTTTTACTTTTCTTCTCTTTCTCCTAGTTGTCCCTTTTCTTTTTCATATCTCTTTCTATGCTCCTTTTTTCTTTTTTCTTTTTTATTGTTTTATTGCTTAAAGTATTACAAAGAGTATTATATATGTCTCCTTTTTTTTTCTCCCCTTGACCTTCCCCTACCCTCCCATGCCCCCCAGTGTCTTGTGTCCATTGGTTATGCTTATATGCATGCATACAGGTCCTTTGGTTGATCTCTTACCCCCTCCCTCCTGCCCCACAATCCTCCCCAGCCTTCCCGCTGTAGTTTGACAGTCTGTTTGATGTTGCTCTGCCTCTGTATCTATTTTTGCTCATCAGTTTATAATCGTCTTAATTATCCATAAATGAGTGAGATCATGTGGTAATTTTCTTTCATTGACTGGCTTATTTCACTTAGCATAATGCTCTCCAGTTCCATCCCTGCTGTCGCAAATGGTAAGAATTCCTTCTTTTTTACAGCAGCATAGTATTCCATTGTGTAGATGTACCACAGTTTTCTAATCCATTCATCTGCTGATGGGCACTTAGGCTTTTTCCAGATCTTAGCTATGGTGAATTGTGCTGCTATGAACATAGGGGTGCATATATCCTTTCTGATTGGCGTTTCTGGTTTCTTGGGATATATTCCTAGAAGTGGGATCACAGGGTCAAATGGGAATTCCATTTGTAGTTTTTTGAGGAAACTCCATACTGTCTTCCATAGTGGCTGCACCAGTCTGCATTCCCACCAGCAGTGCACAAGTGTTCCTTTTTCTCCACATCCTCTCCAGCACTTGTCGTTTGTTGATTAGTTGATGATAGCCAGTCTGACAGGTGTGAGATGGTACCTCATTGTTGTTTTGATTTGCATTTCTCAGGTGATTAGTGACTTTGAGCATGTTTTCATATGTCTCTTGGCTTTCTGAATGTCCTCTTTTGAAAAGTGTCTATTTAGGTCCTTTGCCCATTTTTTGATTGGATTGTTTATCTTCCTTTTGTTAAGTTGTATGAGTTCCCTATAAATGTTGGAGATTAAACCCTTATCGGTGTCTTTTCTTTTTTTTAAGATCAGTCCTATAACACCAAGGAGCCTTAGGTCACCTAAACAGTGATTTTTCAAGTACAAAAAGATCTCATACACAGATAATTGACTGTGAAATGTTTGCACATGGCCATTGGGGTACTAGAAGAAAGCAAAATGTCTTTAAATACTTAATAGTAAAATTTTCCTTCAGCAAGGAATTATGAATATCTCATTTGTAAAAACTGAATACCTTTAAAGGAACACTCTGCATTTGTTAAACTGTAGTTCAATGGAGTACCTCTGTAGATGTTTGATCTCATTTAAATATGTTTTCCCTTTTTAAAAAGATCACTTTCAGTTTGGATCTTTGCTGTGAGATAAACATTTTTAAATTGTTATTTGATGGGAAGAAGCACTTTTACTTTTTTATTTTTGTTAATATATTTTATTGATTTTTTACAGAGAGGAAGGGAAAGGGATAGAGAGCCAGAAACATCGATGAGAGAGAAACATCGATCAGCTGCCTCCTGCACGCCCCCCACTGAGGATGTGCCCGCAACCAAGGTACATGCCCTTGACCGGAATCGAACCCGGGACCCTTGAGTCCGCAGGCCAACGCTCTATCCACTGAGCCAAACCGGTTCTGGCACTTTTACTTTTTTATCTGCAGATTATAGACAGTGTGTGAGATGAGTGACTTGGAAGATGACGATGTCCCCCAGCTTTCTTCCCACGCCTTAGCAGCTCTCCAGGAATTCTATGCTGAGAAGAAGCAATGTGCCTACCCAGGTGGGGATGACAAATACAACGTTGGGAGAATAGAAGAGAATTGGGTGAGTAAATGCATCCCATATATATTCAGAAATATTGGTGTGGAACCTGTTCTGAACCTAGTTCAGAGTTTGTCTATATCCATCTGATACCCAAAGCTTTGTCACCTGTCATTCGGGAGCTGATAACCTATTTGGGGAACTAAGACAGAAAGCTGTCCAGGAATATTTTAAGATGGCATAAATGCAGATTTTCCTGGTCATGAACTTTCAAGCTTGATGATCAGTGGATGGGACTTTTCAGACGGGAATAGCATGTCATGTCCCACACAAAGATGTGACTCCTTCCTGTATGCAGATGCATCTATTTGTTTTTATAGATAGAGGTCAGCAATCCTGTAGAAAGGGAAAAAATATCATGGTAGTAAATGGGGTAACTGAACTTAAACATGTAATGAAACATTAATGAAAAGGAGTTCAGATGATATTAATAGTTTCTGGTGTATAGTGTGCATTTTAGTTATATTTTATGGTCCAAATAAAAATAGGAAGTGAAAGAAAAAAGCTGAGTTGAGGGAAACTTCTAACATAAGCTCAGATGTAAAAAAAAAAAAGTTAAACTTTTTTGCAGGAGATAGTTGAGAATTAGATGAAGCTTGAATTTTCTGTGACTCCCTTAGATAATAGATTTGTCTTCCTCCCTTTGCAACTAGAATGAAGCTTTGTATGTTGGTGTGGTTTTTATAGTCTTTTACATTTTATGTAAATTAACCACTTTCACCAATAAGGTCCTTGGTTAATTAGCTCCCACCCACCCACCCTCCTCACCTTCCCTCTGAGATTCTGAGTTTATTTTTATATACAGTGTAAGCAGATGGTCTAGTTTCAGTTTTTTTGCATGTATCTGTTCATTTTTCCCAGCACCATTTGTGGAATAGACTGTCTTTACCCCATTGTATGTCCTTGTCTCCTTTGTCATATATTAAGTGGCATGTAAGTGTGGTTTTATTTCTGGGCTTTCTATTCTGTTTCATTGATCTATGTGTCTGTTTTGATTACTATAGCATTGTAGTATAGTTTGATATCAGGTAATGTGACACCTCCAACTTTGCTCTCCTTTCTCAAGATTGCTGTAGCTATTTGGATCTTTTGTGGTTCCACATAAATTTTTAGATGATTTTTTCTAGTTCTGTAGAGAACACCATTGGTATTTTGATAGGAATTGCATTGAATCTATAGATTCCTTTGGGTATTATGGACTTTTTTCTTTAAGATTTTTTATTGATTTTTACAGAGGGAGGAAGAGAGAGAGAGAGAGAAACATTGATGAGAGGGGAAACATCGATCGGCTGCTTCTTGGCATGCCTCCACCAGGGATCAATTCCCCAACCCCAGGATGTGCCCTGACCGGAAATGGAACTGGCAACCTCTTGGTGCATGGGTTGACACCCAACCACTGGGCCACGTTGGCTGGGTTGGAATTTTTTTATTTTTATTTTTTAAAATGTTTTATTGAGCCCTAACTGGTTTGGCTCAGTGGATAGAGCGTCGGCCTGCGGACTGAAAGGTCCCAGGTTCAATTCTGGTCAAGGACATGTACCTTGGTTGCAGGCAAATCCCCAGTTGGGGGTGTGCAGAAGGCAGCTGATTGATGTTTCTCTCTCATCGATGTTTCTAACTCTCTATCCCTCTCTCTTCCTCTCTGTAAAAAATCAATAAAATATATTTTTTTAAAAATGTTTTATTGATTTCAGATCAGAAGGCAGAGGATAGAGAGATAGGAACATCAGTGATGAGAGAGAATCATTGATCGGCTGCCTCCTGCATGACCCACACTGGGGATTGAGCCTGCAACCTGGGCATGTTTCCTGACCAGGAATCAAACCGTGATTCCTGTTTCATAAGTTGACGCTCAACCACTGAGCCACGCTGGCCGGGCTGGAATTTTTTTTTAAATCCTCACCCAAGGATATGTTTATTAATTTGAGGGGTTGGGGGGAGAGAGAGAAACATCAATATGAGAGAGAAACATAGATTGATGGCCACCTGTACGTGCCCCGACTGGGGATCCAAGTGGCAAACTAGGTATGTATCCTGACCAGGAATCAAACCCGCAACATTTTTGGTGTACAGGACACCGCTCCAACCAACTGAGCCACCAGTCAGGGGAGTATGGACATTTTAATAATGTTAATTCTTCCTGGTAGCATGGTATATACTTCCATTTATTTCTATCTTCAATTTCTTTCTTATAATTTTCTGAGGACAGGTCTTTTACTTCTTTGCTTAAATTTATTCGTAGGTATTTTTTTTTGATGTAATTTTAAATGGGTTTGTTTTCTTAGTTTCATTCTCTGATAGTTTATATTTGGTATATAAAAATGCAACTGATTTCTGAATATTAATTTTGTATCCTGCTACTTTACAGAATTCCTTCATCAGTTTTAGTAGTTTTTGGTGAAATCTTTAGGGTTCTCTATATCCAGGATCATGTCATCTGGAAATAATGAGAGTTTTACTTTCTCCTTTCCAATTAGGATGCCTTTTTGTCTTCTTGTCTGATTGCTGTGGGTAGGACGTTTATTACTATGTTGAATTAAGAGTGGTAAGGGGGGTAGGAGAGTCTGGGAAGGGGTCAATCAGGGGAAAAGGAGACTATGTAATACTTTAAACAATAAAAAAAAAAGTGTTAAAAGTGGATATCCCTGTCTTGTTCCTGATCTTAAGGAAAATGCTTTTTCTTTTTCCCCATTGAGTATGACATTACCTGTGGGTTTGTCATATGTGGCCTTTATTATGTTGAGTTATGTTCCCTCTATTTCTGCTTTGTTGAGAATTTTTATCATAAATGGGTGCTGGATTTTTGTCAAATGCTTTTTCTGCATCTATTAATATAATCATATGATTTTTACCCTTCATTTTTGTTTATGTAGTGTATCACACTAATTGATTTATGATATTGAACCCACCTTGCATCCCAGGAATAAATCCCACTTGATCATGATGTAAGATTTTTTAAAAATATATATTTTTATTGATTTTAGAGAGGGAGAGAGAGATGGAAACATCAATGATGAGAGAGAATCATTGATTGGTTGCCTCCTGCATGCCCCCTACTGGGGATCAAGCCCACAACCCAGGCATGTGCCCTGATCAAAAATTGAACCGTGATAGGTCAATACTCAACCACTGAGCAACACTGGCCGGTTGATGTTTTTAATATATTGCTGAATTTGGCTGCCTAATATTTTGTTGAGGATTTTTGCATCTATGTTCATCAGAGTTATTAGCCTATAATTTTCTTTCTTTGTAGTGTCTTAGTATGGTTTTGGAGTTAGGATAATGCTAGCCTCATAAAATGAGCTTGGGAACCTTCCTTCCTTTTGAATTTTTTGAAATAGTTTGAGAACAATAGGTGTTAGTTCTTTGAATGTTTGGTAAAATTCACCTGTGAAGCCATCTGGTCCAGGACTTTTATTTGTTGGAAGTCTTTTGGTTACTAAATCAATTTCGTTGATTGTAATTGGTCTCTTCAGATATTTTGTTTCTTCTTGAGTCAGTCCTGGAAGATTGTATGTTTCTAGGAATTTAATTATTTCTTCCAGATTGTCTAATTTGGTGGCATATAGTTGTTGGTAATATTTTCTTATAGTCCTTTTTATTTCCATGGTGTCAGTTGTTACTTCTCATCTTTCTTTTTTTTTTAAAATATATTTTATTGATTTTTTACAGAGAGGAAGGGAGAGAGATAGAGAGTTAGAAACATCGATGAGAGAGAAACATTGATCAGCTGCCTCCTGCACATCTCCAACTGGGGATATGCCCGCAACCCAGGTACATGCCCTTGACCGGAATCGAACCTGGGACCTTTCATTCCGCAGGCCGGCGCTCTATCCCCTGAGCCAAACCGGTTTCGGCGTTACTTCTCATCTTTCATTTGTGTTTTTATTTATTTGTGTCCTCTCTCTTTTTTTCTGGTTAAAGGTTTTATTAGTCTTGATCTTCTTAAAGAACCACTTCTTGGTTTTATTGATTTTTTATTATTTTCTTTGGACTCCATTTTATTTATTTCTGCTCCAATCTTTATTCTTTCCTATTTTCTACTCACTTTGAGCTTTGTTGTTGTTCTTTTTCTAGTTCCTTTAGGTATAAGGTTAGATTGTATACTTGAGATTTTTCTTGTTTTTTGAGGTATGCCTGTATTGCTCCAAATATCCCTCTTAGGACTGTTTTCAATGTGTCCCATAGATTTTGAATTGTGTTTTCATTTTATATTTTTATTGTAAGAGTACATTTATTAAAGCTAAGGACAGTGAAACAAGGAAACTCATAGGCCTTGGATGGAGAGATACTAGACGGGGCTGCTTTGGCTTTCTAGAAATGTTAAGGAAAAGAAGTGAGCCAAGGCGGGGCTGCTGTCAGTTCACTAGAGAGCCAGAAAAAAGGGAACCTTGGTGACCGATTCAGGGATTTAGCCTGGACAAGCTGCCAGTGCCTATTGCTTCCCTGGTTGCAAGTCTTGTGGGAACCCTTAGAGCAGTGGTTCTCAACCTTCCTAATGACACGACCCTTTAATACAGTTCCTCATGTTGTGGTGACCCCCAACCATAAAATTATTTTTGTTGCTAATTCATAACTGTAATTTTGCTACTGTTATGAATCGTAATGTAAATATCTGATATGCAGGATGTATTTTCATTGTTACAAATTGAACATAATTAAAGCATAGTGATTAATCACAAAAACAATATGTAATTATATGTGTTTTCCGATGGTCTTAGGCGACCCCTGTGAAAGGGTCGTTCGACCCCCAAAGGGGTCGCGACCCACAGGTTGAGAACCGCTGCCTTAGAGTTTAGGAGATGCACCTTTGCTGGGGAAGGGGAAGTAGGGTGGAAAGGCTCTGGTGTGTTCCAGGAAGGAGAATGCACTGTTTCCATCTTCATTTATCTCAAGGTATCTTTTGATTTCTTAATCTCATTCTTAACCCAGTCGTTGTTTAATTACATTATTTAGCCTCCATCTGTTTGTGTGTTTTTCATGTATTTGATTTCTAATTTCATACCATTGTAGTTGGAGAAAATGTTTGATATTATTTCTGTCTCTTAAGTTTATTGAGACTTGTTCTGTTACCTAACATATAGTCTATTTAGGGAAATGTCCCATGTGCACTTTATTTATTTTAAAAATATGTTTTTATTGATTTTAGAGAGAGGGATAGGGAGAGGGATAGAGAAATAGAAACATTAATTGGCTGCTTTCTGCATGTCGCCTACTGGGGATGGAGCCCAAAACCCATGTGCCCTGACCAGGAATCAAACCAGTAGCTTCTTGGTTCATGGATTGATGCTCAACCACTGAGCCACTCCAGCCAGACTCCATGTGCACTTTAAAATAATGTATATTTTGTCAGTTTGGTGTGAAATTCTCTAAACATATCAATTAAATTCATCTGACCCAGTGTGTTTTTAATGCAGCAGTTTCCTTATTGATTTTCTGTCTGGAAGATCTCTCCATTGATATCAATGGGGTATTAAAATCCCCTACTATGACTATTACTGTTGATCTTTCCCTTTATGTCTGCCAATATTTGCTTTATGAATTTAGATGCTTCTCCATTGGGTCCATTTGTTTCTTATTATGGCCTTTGTTTTAAAGTCTGTTTCGTCTGATATAAGTATTGCTACCCTAGCTTTTTGTTTGTTCGTATTTGCATGAAATATTTTTTTCATCCCTTTACTTTCAGTCTGTATGTATCTTTTGATCTGAAGTGGATCTCTCATAGACAGCACATAAATTGGTCTTGTTTTCATATCCAGTCAGATATCCTATGTCTTTGGGTAGGAGCATTTAAGCCATTTACATTTTAAGAAATTCTTTTTAGGAATGTATTTATTGCCATTTATTATACATATTTATGTCCCTCTTTTTTCTTCTTAAAGCAGTCACTTTAGCATTTCTTGTAATACTGATTTAGTGGTAATAAACTCTAGCTTTTTTCTTGTCAAGAAAGCTCTTTATTATCTTGCAATTTTATTATTTTTTTAAAAATTATCTTGTTGTTGTTGTTAATCCTCACCCTAGGATATTTTTCCCATTGATTTTTTAGAGAGATTGGAAGGGAGGGAGGGAGGGAGGGAGGGAGGGAAGGACGGAAAGACTCTTTGATTGGTTGCCTCCCACACACACCTTAACTGGGTAGGGGTCAAACCTGTAACCCAGGTACATGACTGGGAATCGAACCTATGACACTTCAGTTCATGGATTGACACTCTAACCACTGAGGAACATCAGCCAGGGCTATTTTCCTTCAATTTTAAATGACAACCATGATGAGTAGAATAGTCTTGTTTGTAGATCCTTGCTTTTCATCACTTTGTATTTCTTACCAATCCCTTCTGGCTTGCAGAGCAATCAGCTGACAGTTTAATGGAAGCTCCCTTATAGTTAACTAACTGCTTCTCTCTTACTGCTTTTAAGATTCTCTCCTGTCTTTAACTTTTGGCATTTTAATTATGATGTGTCTTGGGCCTCTTTGGGTTTATCTTGTTTGGGATGCTCTGTACTTTCTGGACTTGTGTGTCTTTTTCCTTCACCAGGTTAGGGAAGTTTTCAGTCATTATTTCTTCAAATAGGTTCTCAATCCCTTGTTCTCTCTCTTCTCCTTCTGGTACCCCTATAATGCGGATGTTATTATACTTCCATGAATAGCAGAAATCCATTCAACTATCCTCATTTAAAAAAAATTTTCCCCCACAAATGTTTATTTTATTCTTATTATACATTAGGTACTCTGCTGGGATCTGGAGTTGTCAAGATGCATAGAATGATCCCTGACTACAGGCATTTATCATCTGGTTGGAGAAGGAAACTGTTATGCAACATAACATAATGCAAGTTCTTAAAATAGAGTACAATGCCATGGAAGAGGAAAAGAATAAGGACACAATGATCGCAAGGTCAAGGGGGTCCTTCCAGGGCAGGAAACATTTCACTTAGGCTTGTAGAATGAGGTGTGGGAAAGGAGGAAGCCATGGCATGTTCAGGATGAGGGAGCTGCCAAATCACTAAAAAAATTGTTTTTATTTTTGTTGCTTTGATTGGGTGTTTTATGCTACCTTACCTTGTGAATTGTTGATTCGATTTTCTGCTTCATCCAACCTACTGTTTAGTCCTTCTAGTGTAGTCTTAATTTTAGATATTGTAGTCTTCATTTCTGACTGGTTCTTTTTGTGGTTTCTATATCACTTTTTATGCTTATTATCTCTTTGTTGAAGTTCTCACTACTGAGTTCATCCATTCTTCCTCTACGTTCCTTGAACATCCTTATAACCATTGTCTTGAACTATGTGTCTGATAGATTGCTTGCCTCTATTTCATTTAGTTCTTTTTCTAGAGATTTCTCCTGTTCTTTCATTTGGGGCATGTTTCTTTGTCTCCCCATTTTTTCTGCCTGTGTGGTGGGGTAGGAGCTCTGTGTATTAGGTAGATCTACTTTGTCTGCCAGTTTTGGTAGAGTGGCCTTATGTATTAGGTATCCTGTGGGGCTCAATGGTGCAGTCTCCTTGATCACCTAAGCTGGGTGCTCCACAGGTGTTCTTTGCCTGGGTTATGAGTCCTCCTGTTGTAGTTGAGTCTTGATTACTGTTAGCCCATCTGTGGGTGGGGTTGACCCTCAGGCTGTCTGACTGTGAGGATTGACCCCAACCACAGTATATGAGCTACTATGCAGGGGGCTGACCCTATGAAGCAGAATTTGTCCCAGTAGGGTCTGGTGCTTGCCGAGATCTTCCTTTGGATGTGCCTTTTATGGAACTAATCAGGTGGTGTTCCTTTGTGCTTTGAAGCCAGCTCCAGGGTGTGTTGGTTCTGGGGCCTCTTGGGAGAGACTCATGTGCAGGTCAATGTCAGATGCTGCCTGTGACCTGAGGTGCCTGTTAGGAGCTACAAAGCAATCCACAAGTGATGGCTGCTTCTGTCTGGGGCTGGATGCATGTGGTAGGGGCCAGCCCTTTTTGTGTCTCTGACCTTCTTACCAGTCTTGATCTGGCTATTCTATAAATCCTTGGTTATAAGACTTCTCTTCAGCTAGTCTTCAGTTTGTTATTCAGGTTGATTGTTCTATAATTTAATTGTAATTCCAGTGTGGTCCTAGAAGGACTTGAGTGTAACTTCTACCTACTCCCTGCCATCTTGGATCCCTGTTTGTCTATTAATTTAAAATCAACCGAAGGACTTGTATACATGCATATAAGCATAACCAATGGACGTAAGACACTGGGGGTAGGGGGTGAGGGCATGTGCCAGGGGGTAGGGGAGGCCGGGGGGAGGTCAATGGTGAAAAAAAGGAGTCATATGTACTACTATTTTTAATACTTTAAAAAATAAAATAAAATTTTAAATAATTTCAAAAAAATTGGCTTTAAGAAGAAAAAGGGAAATATTAAGTATATGCACAGGTTTAAATTAAAGGAACCAAATTTATGCTAATTCTAAAATGATCTGAACTCATCCCTCTGCTACAGCAATTGAGCCAGTTTTGGTACAGTCAGGAAACTGCTTTGTGCCTTGCTAAGGAAGTGACTACGGCTGCTGGGGAAGGTGGAAGGTGAGATTCAAATTTTGTTTCTCTTTTGTTTAATCTAAATTAATATTTTCAATGTCCTTCCTCGATGAGAGATGGTTTGTAAGAAGTCTGACTCATAATCTGCAAAATTTGTAGTTCATGATTTATAGAATATGAGGAATAAGATCTGCTATAATAACAAGTTTAGGGGCACCCAGAAATGTATGCATTGTAGGATGTCTTATCTCTGTCCTGTATTTTAATATTTGCTAACCTGCTCCTTACTTTTATAACCTTACAGTTTGTTTTAAGAGAAAAAAATCTTAATACTTAACTTTTTGAAATTTTAAGAATGTAGATGTTCTTTTTTTTAACTTGGTTTTTATTTTTATCAAGACTTTACATGCATAGCCCTGGCCCAGTGGCTCATTTGGTTAGAGCATTGCCCCATACACCTAAAGGTTGTGGGTTCCATTACCGGTCAGGGCACATACCTAGGTTGTGGGTTCAATCCCCAGTCAGGGCGCATACAGGAGCCAACCAATTTTTCTCTCACATTGATGTTTCTCTCTCTCTTGCTCTCTCCTTGCCTCTCTCTCTAAATCAATAAACATATCCTCGGGTGAGGATAAAAATCCACAAAACTTTACATGCATGTAATTTAACATCGAATGGTCCTAAAAAGCTGGTTCAGACTTTATCACTTCCACAGATGTGCATGCTTTCTGTCCATTCTCCTAATAGTATTGTTTCCAGATTTGGGCTATAACAGGGTTCATATTGTTCTTTACAGCTGAACCTTTTACTTTTTTCTTATTGTAAAATTATAAGTTTTCTATTTTTTTATGTGTTTCTATGTCCATATCACCTACTAACCATCAAATTCTTCCCCAGTTATGCATATCTTCTACTATAAATGCAAAAATATTTCAACTCCTTGAAAAATATTACCTCATGGCTTTACCAAGCTGGACTGGTTGATTTCTAGCTTTGTTACAGTTTTTATCTTGGTATCTTTCTTCACCATCATGCTCATAGTCCTTTTTCCTCTCTTTTATTTTGGATTTCCAGTTTCCTGTACCCCAGTTCTCATTTTGCAGCCTTAATCTGGGTTAGGTCCATCCTTCAATAGCTTCCACAAAAAAAAATATGTGGGAAGGGAATTTTTCAAACCTTTCCTTTCTGGCCCTAGCTGGTTTGGCTCAATGGATAGAGCGTCAGCCTACGGACTTAGGGGTCCCGGGTTCGATTCCGGTCAAGGGCACATGCCTGGGTTGCGGGCTCCATCCCTAGTGGGGGGTGTGCAGGAGACAGCCAATCAATGATTCTCTCTCATCATTGATGTTTCTATCTCTCTCTCCTTCTCCCTTCCTCTATGAAATAAATTAAAAAATATTTTTAAAAACACCCTTTCATTTCTGAAAATGCCTTTATTCCACTCTTACTCTCAGTTGTAATAGTTTTGCTGGGTATGTAATTCCAGGTTTTGAGGACATTGCTACTTGGCCTCCAAGTATCCATAGGTGCTGTTGAAAAATCCCATGCTGTTCTGAGTTCTTGCAGGAAACCCATTTTTTCCTTGCTCAATGCAAACTTGGGTTTTTTTCTTAATTCCTAATATTTGATGTGTCCTGGTGTAGAGTATTCCCCCCTCGTGCTGGGTGGGGAGCTCTTTCAATCTCATTTCCTTCAGTTTGGGAAAACTGTCTTAAGCCTATTTCTTCCCCCACTGTTTTTTCTCTTCCTCTTTCTAGAACTCCTGTTATTTGAATGTTGGACCTGATCTACTTTCCTTACTGTCTTCTTTTCCACCTATTGTCTTTTTTACCTTACTTTCTGGGAATATTCCTCAACTTTATTTTCTAAATTTTCTGCTGAGTTTACCATTTCTGTTGTCATATACATATTCATTTACAGCTCTCTTTTGGGGTCTCTGAATATATATTTATTTATTTTAAATTTTATTGATTGGTTTTTAGAAAGAGAGGAAGGAGGAGAGGGAAACATCTATTTATTGTTCCACTTATTACTGCATTCATTGGTTGTGCTGAATATTCATTATTTTATCTTGTTTATCCTTCTGAGGATATTAATTACAAGATTTTTTTAAAAGTTTTCTTCTCCCCACTTAATCTGCTTACTACAACGTGCCTTTTCTGTTCACTTATTTTGGTCTCTAATACTAAATGTTTTCCTTGAATGTCCATTGACCTTCACCGGCCACTCAGATTATGTCGGAAAGCTGTGACACATGGCAGAACTTTCTTGCTTAATCTCTGCAGTTGGATGACCTGGGCGAGCTATTCCTAGGGAATCCCAGTGTCACTCTGAGTCTTTTCCTCTGGGACTGGTCAGAGCTCTAGGAAGAGTCTTCTAATTCTTCCCTGGAAGTTATGTGTGTTGTGACATCATCTGGGGGACCACATTACTGAGAGGGCTGAAGGTCCTAGCATCCAGCGGGTTTAACTTAATCCTTGTCATTGCCACACCGTACCACATTACTAGTTGTGCTGGCACTCCCTTTTTGTCCCCCAATCCAGAGACCATCCCTCCAGGTTTCTCTCTCCTTGGAGAAGGAGGAGAGTCTTGGGAATTACTGTCTGCCTACATGGACCTTCAGCCGCTTCTTGAGTTACTGGTCTGCAGATCCTGAGCCTTGGGTGCGGTGATGGAGATAAGGTTGCTCCCCAGCTTTCCTGGCTGCCAGTTCAGGATTTGGTGTTTGGGTCTGCCAAGCCAGATACTACTCTCCACTGTTTTCCAGCTTTTTATGTGTGTTTCTTTTGTCTCTTCTCACATTCTCTTTCTCTTCTTGGCTTCAACAACAAAACAGAATCTTACTTGTGGTATATTAAGTGGACTTCATGAGGGTGCAAATCTACATTCCCATCCACCATCTTTAACTAGAAGTCCCAAGTTTCTCTTTTTTTTTTTCTGTTTTCTTTTGAAATTATATGTAGTTGTTTATTAGGTTTTTCTTAATGACAGTGTCTTTTATACATTTTTTTTCTTTTTTCCATTAATATGAGGGCTTCAGATGCAACTTTTAATTTTTTCTGACAGGCATCTTCAGGAGCTATGTCATAATCTTTTTTAAAAAATAAATTTTTATTGATTTCAGAGAGGAAGGGAGAGAGAGAGAGAGATAGAAACACCAATGATGAGAGAGAATCATTGATCAGCTGCCTCCTACACACCCCCGCTACTGGGGATCGAGCCCGCAACCCAGGCATGTGCCCTTGACTGGAATCGAACCTGGGGCCCTTCAGTCCACAGGCGCATGCTCTATCCACTGAGCCAAACCAGCTAGGGCAATAATCTTAAAGATGAGTAAAAGTGGGAGCATTTATTGAGTAATTGCTGCCTATCCTTTCCTCTGTGTCAGCAGTTTATGAGGGTCACCTTGTTTAGTTCTCACACCCCTGTGAGGTAGTTACCATTATATTCTCTATTCTAAAGACAGAGCTGAGGCTCAAGAGATTCAGCCACTTGCACAAGGGAACTCAGGAGTGAGTTGCCCTAAGACCCCACCATGACAAACCCCATTGTCCCCCTGGGTTCATCACACTCTGCTCCCTCCTTCTTGCATCTGAGACACTTTTCTGCTGCCTTGTACATCCTTCAGAAGATTTTAGAGAAATTCTGCTCGGCAACAAGCTCAGATTTAGTTGGTCTGAAACTACCTTTATTTCACCCTCTTTCTTGGGTGATAGTTCATTGTGCATCTGATTGCTGCTTGTTGTCCCAGCACAGTGAAGACATCCTGGCCCTCTACCTTCACTCTCCTTCCTGTCCCTCAAACTCTGGCAGCATCCTGGGCTGAAGCTCTGATTGCCCCTGTCACCCAGACGGACATGCACATTTTCCAGACGCATATGTGCCATCATCAGGCTGTTACATACTTCAAGTGTTTTTGGACCAAGCAGCCTATCTAGCTAGCTTGGGTGCCTAATATGCACGTGTACAGAAATGACCCTCACAGGTTTATAGCTGAGTTTAATATTTAAAAGTACTGTTTTGAATGATAATATATATGCATGATAAATATCTAAAAGTTCTAAAGGGGATTGGGAAAATGTTATCCTCCTTCCTCATTATCTCCAGGCCCCCAGTCCTCCTCCTGTGAGGCAGCCATGGTCTCTGGCTCTTGTGCCTCTGAGCATATTTTCTCACACTCATGCAAATGTCTTTTTGCCCCTTGTGTTCCTGGAGTGTCTTGGGGGTGTGATGTTACATAACATTCCATTGTAACAGATGGACCACAATCAACTCAATAGTTCAGTATTTATTTCTAGCTTCTTTCGCAGTTGGTTTTAAAAGTTAACTATTGGGCCCTGTCCGGTGGGCTCAGTGGTTAGAGTGTCAGCCCACGCACCAAAGAGTCTCGGGTTCGATTCCTGGTCAAGGGCATGTACCTGGGTAGTAAGTTCAATCCTCGGCTGGAGCGCGGCAACCAATCGATGTCTTTCTCTTATCTCTCTCTCGCTCTCTCTCATCTCTCTCCTTTTCTCTGTCTCCTCTTCATTCCCTCTCTTTCCACTCTCTCTAAACATCAATGGAAAAATATCCCTGAGTGAAGATTAACAAAAAAAGAGTTAACTATTGGGACAGTGCTTACCTGTTCATAAACTGTAGGCTGCTGGTAATAATTTCCTTATACAGAAAAGCAGCAGAGCCCTAGCTGGTTTGGCTCAGTAGATAGAGCATCAGCCTGCGGACTGAAGGGTTCTGGGTTTGATTCCGGTCAAGGGCACATGTCTGGGTTGCAGGCTCGATCCCCAGTAGGGGGCATGCAGGAGGCAACTAATCAATGGTTCTCTCTCATCATTGATGTTTCTATCTCTCTCTCTCTCCCTTCCTCTCTAAAATCAATAAAAATATATATATTTTTAAAAAGCTGCAGAAATTTAAAGTAGCTTTTCTGCACTGAGACCTCATTTTAATGTATTTTTTTGGAAAACTGGGTTGCTAAAGCAGTTATTTAGGGTTTTCCTCTCAAGATTATGAATATTACGAAGTAACTTCAAAATATTTAGTTTGAGATTAACAGTATTTGACGTAAATGTTAAAGAAACATGAAATAGGTAAATTAGACTTTGGGCTACCTAATTTTGCCTTTATATGTTCCTAATGTTTTACGTTTCTTACTATAAAGAGCACATGTATCACTTTCGTACCTTAACATTATGAGTATCAGATTTTTAAATACCAGATTCCTTAAAAGTGAGGCATTTTGTTTTCTCTCACAATTTACTGCTGTCACGTTAGTTGCAGTGTTATTTCCTTGAGGAAGATGTGGCAGGACCGCTGGTGCTTAGTGAAGTTGTCTAACGTTGGAAATGGTCTACCGGAGCTCTTTGTGCACATATTCACTTTGTTTTCCAGGGTGGCCTGTGTGAGCACCCCTAGTGTTTACCAGAAACTGAGAGAGCTGCACAGAGAAGACTTGGCTGTATACCTCTTTGAGTATGACAGAAGATTCTCCATTTATGGAGAGGAGTTTATCTTCTATGATTACAATAATCCACTGGACTTCCCTGTAAATATTGCCCATCATAGTTTTGACATTGTCATAGCGGATCCCCCCTATCTTTCTGAGGAATGTCTCAGGAAAACCTCAGAAACCATCAAGTACCTGACTCAGGGCAAGATTCTGCTGTGCACAGGTAAGTGCTGGCCTGCCATCTCATAAAGGTTGATAATGGTGGATTTTCAAGCCTCAGGTGTCAAGAGTTGAAAGATCTTAGAACTCAGATCCTGAATCTACCACTTGTTGTGTGACCATAAACAGCCTTTGTAACCTGTGCCCCCATTTCCTCGTCTGTAAATATGGGGCTGGTAATGCTGCCTGACTTCCAGTGTTGGAGGACTGAGTGCCTGACCCACATTGGGTGGGATTGCATGTGGTGAATATTCATCATGGTCATCATCAGTAGTTAAAGTAGCCTCTGCACTTGATGTCGAATCTGTGGAGTTAACGTGGATTGCCTGAGGTTACAAGTTAGGCATTGGATCAGGTTTGTTATAGCAGAACAGTGTTCTTTCTGGGGAGATTGAGATACACTATTTTCTTAAGATGGAGGTACTGAAATCTGACACAGAACTAAAACTATAACTACCTCTATGGTCTGGGCAGCCTGGTGTCCAGGCCCTGAGTGCAGTCCCCTGCTCCTGTACCCAGCCTGTGGCCATGCTTCTGCCTGGAGCACACTGGGCTGAGCGGCGGAGCTATTCTTCTGGTTGTCGAGTTGTAGACTTAGTCAAAAACACAACTCTTGTTCACACAACTAGTATTTATTTATTAATTCATAGCTGTGACTAGCCCTTTGTGCCAGCTGACAGTTAGATTGCCTGACCTCATGGAGCATACATTTGGTTTTAGGGGACAGATTTAAAAATGTATTACAACAGAAGAAATGAATTCCTAATTTTGATAAGTATATGAAAAAATTAGAGAAAGACAGGCTGGCATAGAGTCAGGGGGCTGTACTTCAGATCCATGAGTTCTCTGGGCTGAGCTGCATTGCAGCAGTGGCCTCAAGGGGAGTCTGATGAGAGGGCCCCAGACAGGTGCTGGTGAGAGTTGGAATTTTCTTTTACAGTGTCCAGCCCCAAAGGAACAAGATCCAATTTGTCTAAACAAGTTCATTTCACCTTTGTACCAAAGAGATTTATGGGGGTGAGTGGACATAGCTCTGGACGAGGTTGGAGAGGAAACTAAAAGAATGTGCTGTGCTCTGCATGTGGGAAGTGAGAAAGGGGAGAATCCAGGATGAGTCCTGGGTTCCTACCCGTGCAGCACTTGCTACCATAGGCGTCGAGGAACAGGTGCTTGGCAGCATCTGGGGTGATATCCACAGCGGTGGGCAGTGCTAGACAGGCAGTGGGGTGAGGAAGGGGGGCTGAGGGAGAAACAGTTTGGTCATCCAAAGGTTGATGTGAATATATTCCCATGAGTTTACAAGATTGGATATTCCTGAAAAGGGGATTCTTTGTTTTTAACATTGTTTAAAGTATTACAAATAGTAGTACATATGTCTCCTTTTTCCCCCATTGACCTCCCTTACCCTCCTGGCTCATGCCACACCTCCCTCCCGCCCCCATCCCCAGTGTCTGTATCCATCGGTTATGCTTATATGTATGCATAAAAATCCTTCGGTTGATCTCTTACACCACCCCCCAACCCTCCCCTGCCTTCCCACTGTAGTTTGACAGTCTGTTCGATGCTTCTTTGTCTCTGTATCTATTTTTGTTCATCAGTTTATGATGTTCCACAAATGAGTGAGATCATGTGATATTTATCTTTCTCTGACTGGCTTATTTCGCTTAGCATAATGCTCTCCAGTTCCATTCATGTTGTTGCAAATGGTAAGAGTTCCTTCTTTTTTATAGCAGCATAGTATTCCATTGTGTAGATGTAGCACAGTTTTCTAATCCACTCATCTGCTGATGGGCACTTAGGCTGTTTCCAAATCTTAGCTATGGTGAATTGTGCTGCTATGAACATAGGGGTGCATATATCCTTTCTGATTGGTGTTTCTGTTTTCTTGGGATATATTCCTAGAAGTGGTATTACTAGGTCAAATGGCAGTTCCATTTTTAATTTTTTAAGGAAACGCCATACTGTTCTCCACAGTGGCTGCATCAGTCTGCATTCCCACCAGTAGTGCAAGAGGGTTCTGAAAAGGGGATTCTTGATCAGAGTGGAAAACCAGGTTTTTTTTCTTTCTTTTTAAAAGGCATTACAATATTTTATTTTGTATTATTTTTAAAAATCCTCATCCAAGGGTATGTTTTTATTGATTTTAGGGAGAGGGAGGGAGGGAGGAAGGGAGGGAGAGAGAGGGAGAGAGAGAGAGAGAAACATCAATGTGAGAGAGAAATATTGATTGGTTGCCTCCCGTATGCATCTAAATATGGATCAAATTCACGACCTAGGTATGTGCTTGACCAGGAATTAAATCTGCAGTCTTTTGGTGTACAGGACAATGCTCCAACCAACTGAGCCACCCAGCTAGGGCAACACCGGTTTTTTAAATTTATTTACTAAATTTATTGGGGTGACATTGGGGAAACCTGCACCTGAAACAGATAGGTTTCAGGTGCAGGCTTCCATATTACAAAACCAACAGTTTTTAATACTTATTCTTGCTTTCCTTAAATCACTTAGTAGGATATAATCTATTTCCATTACACTTGAAGTGTCTTAGCTTTGTAGAGACTGGAAAACTATTAAATAAGAAAGAAAAGGAAGAAAGTAAGTAAATTTAAAAAATGTTGGAAAAGTAAAGAGGAATATGAAGAACTGACCTCCACCCTCATTTGCTGAGTAGTATTGTCACGTTGTGCCAGGGCCCAGGGTGCATGGCTGTATTTATCTTCTGGTTCATCTAGTCTGTTCTCTTCAGGTGCTGTCATGGAGGAAGAGGCAACAAAACTTCTTGGTGTGAAGACGTGCAAATTTATTCCAAAGCACACCCGGACCTTGGCAAATGAGTTTCGCTGTTACGTGAATTATGACTCTCAGCTAGACCATGATGTGTAAATGTGGACAGTTTATAATGCAGAACAGGACCCTGTGTGACATTCCCCTCTTTATTTTCTTAGCAGGTTGTGAAGCTGTGCACTCGGTCATCACACTTTTGGATAATTTAAAGTTGACTTAAAAGATCACTCAGTATTGTCCTTGGCTGGCTTTCTTAGTGGTTAGAGTGTTGGCCTGTGGTCTTGGGTTTGGTTTCCAGTCCAGGATGCGTACCTGGGTTGCAGGTTCGATTTTTTTCTCTGTCCCCCTCCTCTCTCCCTTCTACTCTCTAAAAGCAATATAAAAAATGTCCTCAGGTAAGGATTAAAAAATAATAAAAGATAATCAGTATTTTTGAGACATTTATATTTTTATCATTGTAATGTATTTTTATCATTAACCTGAGATGTTAAATATTCAGTAAATGTTCTTTTAAAAAATAACCCCTACAATAATATTTCCTTAAGGTTGCTAAAAATTAACTAAGGAGGCAACACATACTATAACAAATCATGTGTATAAATGTAATGTGTAATTTAGGAATGGTGGGCAAGTAGCAGTATAGAAATAACAATTTTAGTTGGTCTATAAATCTAGCCTTTAAGATGAGGGAAACCTTTTCTCCATGGGGGTAGAGGAAGGAAGAGGCAAAGCTTTACTCATATAAAAATGTATTTTAATAAGCAGCCAATATGTCTTTTTTGCTTTGGACCCTTTGTGATTCAAGTTTTGTGTTTTTTAAAATTGACTTTATAGACAGAGGGCAAGGGAGAGAGAGAGAGGAAAAAAACACACATCAATTTGTTGTTCCATTTATTTATGCATTTGTTGGTTGTTTCTTGTATGTGCCCTGACCAGGGATCGAATCCACAACCTTGGCCTATGGGGATGATGCTCTAACCAGCTGAGATACCTGGCCAGGGCTTGTGATTCCATTTTAACAAGCCCGTATTTGTTTGTGATTGGTGTCTGGATTTCAAGAATGACTGGTAGCTGTAGTCTGGCAACCTGAAAAGCTTGACATAAGCCTGGATGTGTTCCTGTCTGTCTGTCTCCCTCCAGGCAGGTGGAGTGCGCATGGCCACCAGCTGTTGAATGGCAAGGAAGGCTGGGCGATGCTCTCAAGTCTGTCTGTAAGCAGGGGGTTCTCAGGAGGTGACCTCATCTCTGACATTTTTACCATAGAACCGCAAAAACCAAAGAGGATGTTTAATAGACATCTTTGTAAGTCCTTAATTCAAAAGTTTGCATTTACACCAAGACAACCATAATGTGAGTAGAAAGGGGAGGGATAATAATTGCAGTTTTGCTAGCATTTCCATGTTGTTACTCAGCTGTGTGCAAGAGCAGATGAAATGTGTGGTGAAGTGAAACCCCATTTCAGATGAGAATCCCATGCTGGTTCCTTTCCTTTCCTTTCTGCAGTCTGAGCCTGAACCAGTTACTAAAACTGACCTCTTGTCCCTTCTGCCTTAATAGAAGAAATGCAGTCCTACCAGAAGTCTGGGTCATTGGCCTCTGAATGTGGAACAGCTGGCAAGAGCCAGTGTCTTCTGCGGGCTCTTCCCAAATGATTCCATTGTTACAAAATAAGCACATAACAGAAATATTGTCTGAGGGAAAAAATCTTCAATGACCAGTAAGGTATCTCCATTCCGAGAGCATTGCCATGAAACACTCAAAATAGAATTACTTGAAGGAAAAGTAGGCATGGTGGCACTTTTTAAGAGGAGGGAAAGAAGCTATGAAATGTACAGTCCAATGCTGCTAGAATTTATTGTACTTGCCCATATCAACAAGATGCAACTATGTTAACGATGTTATCAGGATCAGGAGGAAAAGATGTCCTTGAACTTTGGTGGCATAATTCTCTAGCCAGTATATTTCCCTAGTTGTCATTAAAACAGAATACTAACCCCTTCCCTTCCAAAATAAAAAACTTTAATTTTAACAAGAGAACAAAATTCTGTTCAATAAACTATTCATTGAAGCAGTATCTCGCCACAATGGGTCACAGCCCTCTGATTTCAATATATTCTCTCTAATTGCTGCTATCTAGGGGTAGATTTCGTTTTTATCTCAATTTTTATTTATTGATTTTCAAGAGAGATTGGAAGGCAGGAAGGGAGAGAGAGAGAAACATGGATTTGTTGTCCCACTCATTTATGCATTCATTCACTGGTTGATTCTGTATGTGCCCTGACCAGTGATCGAACCTACGACCTTGGGTATGTTGTGACGACGCGCTAATCAACTGACCTACCTGGCCAGGGCATGGATAGATTTCATTTTAAACTTACCTTTTATACTTAAAAACAAACAAACAAACAGGCACTTTGAAGTAATAGAAACACTTCAAATAAGAGCTGGATACTACTTATTCTCAATGTAACTCATGAGTCACTGGGACAGTGTGTTTTCGCTCCTACTGTGTGTGGGCAAGACTGCTAGGTGCTTCACAATGGTGATCAGCCATCACAATACCTATGAGGTGGATGGCACCACCTCATTTTATAGATGAGCAAACTAGCTGTGATTCTTGGGCAATATGTGAGGTGAGCAGAGGCCTGAGCATGCCCAGCGTGCTGACAGCCAATTCAGTTTCCACTTTCAGCTGAGTGCAGAGTTGGTGTGGTTCACAGCGGGCTCCAGGAGCTCAGCACCTGGAACAGGGCAAGTGCTCAATAAATAGTTAAGTGGATGAATGTGCCATTCAGAGAAAAAGTACAAAAGTTGCCTTTATAGATCTTAGAATGGAAAGCAAGTTTCTTCCTAATATTAGGACAATGCTCTAACCCAGCGGTCGCCAACCTTTCGGACCACATGGACCACCAGTGGTCTGTGGACAACCGTTTGGCGACCGCTGCTCTAACCAACTGAGGTACCTGGCCAGGGCAGGGATTTTTGTTGTTATCTGAACTAGCAACAAAAGGTTGCTCTGAACCTTCCGTTTCTGGACAACATACTCTAGAGATACCTCCACTAGGGCTACCTTTATAAAAATAATCCCAAACTATATAGAACTATCCACGGCTACTTGGAAAATCCCGATTCTGTTCAGCAAGGTATTTTCATGCACAACTTCTGTCACCAGATAGTAAAAGTTGAAAGTCCTCTCAGTGAACCTTGCGTCCAGATCAAATAAAAACTGATGGTGACTCAGGCAGCCAAAACTGTGTACTTCAACTGTGTACCTCTGTGGCAGCTGAAACTTGGGAGTGAAACACATGAAGAAAGGGCACTTCTCGGCTTGGCTGGGGTGTCACAGGAGAGCAAAGAGATTGACTTTATGTTACTACTTGATTTAATCTTAAACTTCCACCATAAAATTAAGACAAAGACTTTAATAAACATATTGTTTCCTCTAAAACTCAGTTGAGCCCATGAGAAAGAAATACACACAAGCAATATACCTTCACCAGTAACTGTTTTAAAGATTTAAAAAGTACCTCTTACTTTTACAAATCATTATGTTCAGGGACAGATTTCCAGGCTAAAGAAATAAGGGTTTAGCTCACAATACAACATAGAAAAAGAGGCTCAATACTGCTTTCTTGAAATTTAAAGTTAGCTCATTTCCCCCTCATATGTGACTAGTACCAGAAGCCCTTCAAACAGCCAAGTTAAGCTCTTGAGAGTCGGCAAAGATGTCATGTTCCCCCTGTCGCCTTTATCGCATTACCTCTTACCTACAAATTGGCCCACTGACTTTGAAAAGTGAAGAGAAAAAAAAAAAGATTTTAATTCAGTAAACCTGCAGCCATTGATGTGCTAGTAAATAAACCGAAGTTTAGGATTTCTGGGATGGCTCTGGGATACCCTGAGCCTATTACACTTCCCTTTCATCCCTGTAGCAGCTCCTGGAGAGGACAGCTGGGCATGTCGGGTTCAACCCTGTCCATCTGGTTGTGCCAGCAATGAGGACAGGGTGGCTGCAGAGACTTGGGACACAGCACCCGGTAAGGTTTATCTGAGGATTCCAACTGTGCTTCTACACGCTAGCAGAAGGGAAAACATGGTCTATAAAACAAGTAAAAAATTTTAATATTCAAAATCACTAATATAAAAATAGTTCCTGCCCTTATTGAAAATAAGTAGCGATATATGCTCATAAAAAGATAGTTTAAAACGCATCTATCACCTACGTGTGGAGGCTGTGGCCTGCTTGTCCTAGCAGCGGTGCCACCCGATACACTGACGCTGTGCGGTGGGGCTGGGACAGCAGCCTCGGGGCGGTGGTGGCCCGCCCTGCCCCAGAGGCCGGTCCCTACACTAAGCCAACTCCTTTCAATCCCATCAGCTGGGCGCTGACTCCGCCTAGAATAGAAGCCCTAACAACGGAGAGGTTCCCCAGCGGGGCCCGGGCAGAAAGACCTGCCCAGGTCACTGTCCTCATGAACGGAAAGGCCTGCGTAGGTCCCTGTCCCACTCCTCGTGACCGGGGTCCTGGTTCCGCTCTCTTCCGCCACGGTCCGTTCCGGTGGCAGCTGGCGCGTCGTGGTCGGGCGCGGGGACGCAGGTGCAGCCCACGGGCACCGCCACGTACTCTTCCGCGTAGACGGAGCGGCCCCCCGCACAGCCCGCAGTGCGGCGCAGCACGACCGTGGGCAGCAACACGGGTGCACTGCGGAGGCTGAGGTCCTCCTCCCCGCGCGGCCCGGTCAGGCAGCCTCGGCACAGGCAGTAGGCCTCCGGCAGGAGCCGAGGGTAGCGGGTGGGGTCGTAGGACAGCCTGCGGAGAGAGGCGGGATCAGTGCAAGCTTGTGCAGTGCCTTTGGGATCAGTGCCAGTTTTTGCACACCGGGTCAGAGTGCCCTGGCTTCAGTGAACCGCTCCAGTCACTGCGCAGGGGTCAGCCTGCAGGGCCTTAGTGCAAACTCGGGTGGAGGGAGCGCCACCTGTTGAGCGGGCGGCTTACGGGGTCCTAGGAAGTGCTGAGGTTCCCGCTCACACGAAGCAGGAAGGTTGGCTGGACACTTGACCCCAGGTAGTGTCCATGCGAGACTCGGATCTACAGATCCCAAAGACAGGCTTTTCAGCTGGCCTCGGGCCATTGCCTAAAATCAGGCTCTTAACTAGTGCCCTTAGAAAAATAACCTCTACACTGTGCACATGCACCAACAGGTGACACACACAGCCACTGCGTGTCATCAGACACCCTCCCTGTGCCAGGACCCCAACTCCAGCTCTAAGGGGCCACCCCTGAGCAGAACTGTGTCTGCTCCATCCCACCAGGCTCTGCAGCCTCAGAAAAGGCCACACTGCCAGGGCACTGCCCACACAGGTCCCCAGGACAGGCGAATCTGCATGGGGCTAGCTGACCTGGGCACTAGACCATGTAGACACTGGTCACCTGGCCACTGAAACAGCCATGAGCAAAGACACCTGTCCAGAAGGCCACACGTGAGCCCTGTGTCCATCTGTCAGGGTCCATGTGCCCTCCTCTGTGAAGAGGCTGAAGTGACATCAGGAAATGTCAGGCCTGGCCAGTCTGGGACATTTGAAAAGTGCGGGAAGGTTTAAACTTAGTCATCTTCATCCTGATCCAGGCCTTCCTACTTTCAGGTCAGATGCAAAGGACCAAGTGTCAAACACCTGCAAACAGCCTGCTCCCACACTGCAGAGGGTCTGGTGCTCCCTGGGGGAACAAGAGAAACCCCAAGCCCCTCTCTACCCTCTACCTCCTCCTCCCCAAAGCAAGGAAGCCATTAATGGGGACCTAGGACTCCTCCAGAGTTTCTCTTTTCAGAGGGTGGGATTATCCCCCTTTCTCTAAGGATTGCCATGACTCCAAATTCTCATTTCCATTAGTCTGC